ATTAAAAAAAAAAAAAAAAAGATAATAATTTACATTATACTTTTAAGTCCTAATTTAATTAAAAAAGGAAAATTTTGTCTGTTAGGATGTCCAGATCTATAAACTCCTGGTGCCACCATTGCAAAATTTAATGGTGGAACCATTACTTTTGCCTCAGTTGTATATTCTGATGTTTTTGCCATATTAACAAAGTTAAAAGTTAAAAAAGAAGACGACTTTTTTGAAGCATAGTAGGAATTTATTCCCTGATTTAGTGACACAAACTGCGAACTCGTGAACACGTGAAACTCATATTTGACTAATGACCAAATATTTGAAATTAGCACTATAACAGTATAACTCACTTATTGGATGGTCTTCGACCGACCTAACCTCTATCAAATAACTAACCATTTTAAAGTATAATTTTTTAAACGAATTGGATCTATATCGGAGATTCGGAGTATTGATTTTGTATATAACGTTTATGCGATGTAACTAAAAATATATTTGTGGCAGTGTCGACATTATTATATAAGAAAACGACTTTCCAAATTTAGAGATCAAAATATATTTATGGTGACGCTTGTAGCTTGCTGCGCAGAGATTTTAGTCGTATATATTACTATTACATCAGACATTCTCTAAAAATTTTCATTACTAAAAACACTTAATTATGGACGATTATCGCCGTTACCGTCAAAGCGACAATTCTGCAAAGAACGAGCTTTTTAAGGGAGCTACCAATAACCAATATCCTCCTCAAGGTTACCCACCACCTTACCAACAACAACAACCTTATGGTGGTTACCAACAACAACAACCTTATGGTGGTTATCAACAACAACAACCTTATGGTGGTTATCAACAACCGTACGGTCAACAACAAGAAACTGAGGAAGATGTCGAAGAAATTAAATCTCAAATTCACAGCGTTAAACAAGATTCTGTAAACTCGACTTTGAAATCGTTACAGATGATTGAACAAGCTGAACGAGCAGGACAAAATACTTTAAATAAACTTGGTGAACAAACTCGTAAGTAGGAATTTTAATATTAACATTTTCGAATATACCAAGTAACTTCTTTTAAATCATACACAGATCGTATAAATTATACTGAAACTCAATTGGATCTCGCTGATGCACATGCTGAGATAGCATCCGAACAAGCCAATAAACTTAAAAAGGTCAGTATTTGATCTGAAATAATAAATTATTTTGTATAAATTACAATGTTTAAAATTGATTCGATCCCAATTAGGTCAACGGTTCTATGTTTGGTTTTGACGTAAGTAATCCATTCACCAAAGGGAAACGCGAAGCTAAGGAATTAGCACGTGTTCAAGCTATGCAAGAAGAACAAAGAGCTAGTCGTGAAAATATGAGAGTCGGTAATTGGCAATCACAACAAAGAATTAACTCAGCATTGAAACAAGGCCAGAATTCATCTAGTTATAAGCCTGGAAAGTCCTCACAAGAACATAGAGGTAGATTTCAGTTCGAAGCTGATGATGAAGATAATAGAATGGAGGACCAATTGGATAATAATTTAGATCAAATTTCAGCCGGGTTAACCAGATTAAACGGCATGGTATGTCTATCGTTAACATTTGATACATATATATATACATATGTCATTAATTAATTGTTAACTTGTTCTTTTAGGCTATCGCAACTGGCCAGGAAATAAAGAGCCAAAATGAAACTTTGGATAGAATTTCCGCGAAAACTAAAGATGTGGATGATTCTATTGTCAAAACAACTTATTCATTAAAGAAAATTAGATAATTTATTTAATTATAATTTTCTTTTTTTAGGTTTTACAGATTTATTTATAAAAATCTCTTTTTTATATATTTCATGGAACATTTTATCAATTATTATTAATTATTAGACTTCTCTTTTGAAAACATTATAAATTATAAAATGAAGAACTATTTTGATATTATATTATAAATAAATTTTTTCTTGTATTACTCATTATTTTTAGATTTACAAAAAAAAACAATGTATAATTTTAAAGCCACGTATAATAAATAATTACAATAATAAATTCAACTTTATAATGAACCCTTTTCATGATACATTTATACTTTTCCTAATCTCAATTTTAATTCCGTTATCATATCACTTCTTTTCACAGAAGAGCCTCCGCCTCCGCCTTGCTCTTTGGATCTCATATCTTTAATTCTAACTTGGCCAATATCTAATTCATCCTTTCCAATAATAACAGCGAATGGAATTTGATATCGGTCACACGTCGAAAATTGAGGTTGCAATTTTGGTTTGGCCTTGTACATAAATTCAGCCTAAGATAAAAGAAATTAAAAAGTTTATTAAACGCCACTCCTGTTTCTCGGGGCCAAATTAATAGTGATTACTGAACAAACCTTAATACCGGCATTCCATAACTCTGCACATACTTTCATGCGATCTTCCATCAACCCATCACCCACCGCTATAACATAAACTTCCACTTCATTTGCTTTAACTTGTTCAGGTTTATATTTTTGCAGCAAAATAGAAAATACTCGCTCCACGCCGATAGAAACTCCAACACATGGTATATCGCTGTTTGTTCTACCTACAAGCGTACCAACAAGTTTATCATAACGGCCTCCTGCTGCGATTGATCCTACACCAATAGTTGTTTCGTCAAACTCATCCGAATCTTTTTTTAATTTTCTCGCAACTTTTGTACCATCTTCAAGCGCTATGCGATTAATGTAATATTAATTAAACAATAGGAAAAAGTTCAATGATAAAAAAAAATTTAATTCTCACTCGGAGGACCAGAGTGCTCAGTGATAGCTTCATAAATAATTCCGGTATAATAATCTAGGCCTCTTGCAAGACTAAGATCAAATGAAATCTTAGAGTAAATAAATAAATTAATAAAACATTTGAATTAATTAAAAAAAGATCCACTATAAAAATTATGCCTAATAATACGATACCATATCTAAAACTTCGAAAACTTCTAAATATTTAAAAAGAAGAAACAAATCCTCTAATCCTCCTTTAGCATTTTTATTGGCACATAATTTCTGGTCTTGGTATAACTTTTCCAATAGATCTTTACCACCTATAAAACAAATTCATATTAATGCCCAAATTCGAACAAAACAAGTTAATAATTTTTTTTTACCTTTTAATTTAACATATTCCCCTATACGATCAGCAACAATAGGATCTAAACCTTTTTCATTTGTCATTTCATCTCTGACATCTTTCCAAGGTGACTAATAATGTACGAGTTATGTTTATTTTACAAGTGTTAAAAGCATATCGTGTGAAATTTTTTTGCAGAAGTATCAAACAAATAACATTTACCTTGTCTAATTTGTCTACAGCCGAAGATATAGGCCTGATTTTTTCCTCTGGAACACCGCAAATCTCAAAGATTCCGTCCAAAATTTTGCGGTGATTAACCTAAAAAAAAAATAATGCTTGCAGAATAAGTGTATTTTTTTGAATAAATGGAAATAATTGTATAATTTACCTTTATAGTAAATTTTCCAATATCAAGTTCTGTCAAACATTCAATCATAATTTTGATAACCTCGGAATCAGGTATCATAGGGTCAAAATTTCCAGCAATATCAAAATCCTTAATTATGAATGCATTTAGTTGAGAAATTTCAGAAACTTAAATAACTAAAAATGATACCTACGCATTGATAAAATTCTCGCATCCGCCCTTTAGTCATGGCTGGTTGATCCCTTCGGTAAACTTTTGCAATCTGATATCGCTTGATACTTTGTGTTCCATTCATAGCCAAAAATCTTGCAAATGGCACCTATAAATAACGTCTGATATACGTTAATAAATATTCAACAATGAGTACTGAAAATTTTCGAACTTACCGTTAAATCATACCGCAATGAACATAACTCGCCGCCTTGATCTTCAAGATTATAAATCAATTTGCTCTCTTCGCCATATTTTCCAGTAAGAATTTCTCTCAGTTCAAATACTGGAGTATCTATAGTAACGGCACCGTGTCTCTTAAAGACAGATATGATGGTCGAAAAGACTTTTTCACGTATAGCCATTTCAATTTCATTGTAGTCCCGTGTTCCCTGTTAATATACAAAAGAAGAACAAATAATTTTAATTAGAAATTTATTTTTTAACACGAAAAACCCTATGATTATTCCGAAAGATTTTCCGATGTTCACATTACCTTTGGTACTTTTAGTAAGATTTTATTTTTATTCTTGTTGTCTTCTCCAGTAATACCATTCAACTGTTTTTTAAGTTCTACTATAGCAGCAACTTCTGCATCCACCAAACTCTGATCAGCTTTTTGTGCTTTCAAAGCTCGAACTTGTTCACCCTTTTCTTTAATTTTTTGTTTAAGTAATTCCATTCTAGCTTTTTACAATTGAGCTTAAGAATTAAAAAAAAAAAATAAAGCGGTTGTATTTCTGAAGGCTTAGCTCCGACTTTTTATTATCAATGCTGACTCATTTCCCGTTCGTACTGCGGATCGAATGATTTAATGGTACCCACATTTAAATGACATTAATAATTTTAGAATAATTTTTATTCTTATACAATATAAATTAAAAAGCAAAATATGTGTAATACAAAGGGTTTCACTGAAACTACTTTACATAAATAAATAAAAAATTATATATAAGAAAAGAAATGGAAATAATGAAAATTTAATACAAGGTGATGAACGAAATTAACATGTATTATACAGTCGTAACACTGTAAGCAGAAGGTTTTTTTTTTGAAAATCTAATTAATAATATATTAATTTTATAAACCCCAATTCCTTTTAATTTTGACCGAATTATAAATATTACATTAGTAAAATAAAATTAACCCTTTGGTTTTGCCAAAGTGGTATCGTATACTCTGATAAGTTGCGCTTCTTGCCCAGATTCGTTTTGAGAAAAGGCAAACCCACGACTTTTTCGTAATCTTTGTACAGCACGCACTTTTCGTATTGCCTTTTGGAATTGCTCCATGCGAGGTCGGTAATCGGGAATATTGAATTTTTGGATTTCTTGCACAGTATGATAAGAACGTGAAATGTACATACGTTTTGCGCTAAAATAGAGATTTGATTAATAAAAATCTTTGATGTTCAAATTATATTTTTAAAGTAAAATTAATAACTTACTATTTCCAGGCAAAATCTCTCAAAAGACACATAGTTGGTATTAGAATAATAGTAGCATAAAATATTGGACTTGTGAAAATTACTCCAACAATGCCTTCATATTCTTCTGAAAATCTTAGTTTTGGAGCAATTGAACCATATAATACAATGAAAACCAGCCAGAAAATAAATGACCCTGGAATCGCAATATAGGTATATTTTGTCCATAAACTGTATGAAATAACAATTATTAATATAGTTATATCAAGGAATAAAAAATAAATGTAAATATATTAAACATACTCTGTTATTAAAGCAGCTTTCCCTAAAACTGTTGCTAAAACTGCTGTATAAATTGTTGTACCCCACACCCAGTGGCCTGCTAACTGTCCACTTGACAACACAAGGTCTTGATTGAAAATAACTACTGGTACATAATATAAAATCTAAAAATAATAAATTTTTATTAACACACATTGAATAATATGCAATTTTAGTTCAAAATTATTACTTACCAAGGAATGATAAAAAGCATTTATCGTCCAGCCCCAAAAAGTTTTGACATTAAACTATATTTAAAAGTTATGTCCATACATTTTTATAATTAATAAGAGGTTATTAAATTACATACGAGATTAATTTATACTCACAAATTCACTCTTTTGGCCCAACATGTACATTTGTGGATAGCGATCTAACATTCTCGCACTAACAAACTGATCAAAAACTCCTATTACGATTGGTGGTAATACAGTAAAAAGGACATTATAATACGTAATCGTCCAAGATTCATAAATAACTTGACCGGAGAAACCGTTTTGGAATGTGTACCAAAATTGAGTCATATAGAGTGTTATGTTCTTATAAAAAGAGTATAAAATAAGTTTACTCAATCTTTGGTAACTCCATGCTCCGTGTACCAATAGAAGTTTTTTCAGATATTTGAACTGGCTAATAGCAACATCAGCGCTACGAGCTGCCTGCATTCCCTCAAGACCACTAATACCAACACCAACATGAGCTGCTTGAATCATGGAAACATCATTTGCGCCATCACCAATAGCTAGGAGAATGGCTTTTAAGTGACGTTTTACGAGTTTTACGACAAGAGCCTTTTGAAGAGGTGAAACGCGACAACAAACCACAGCTTTACACAAAGTCGCGAGCTCAAGAAAAGTTTTCTCAAGATCTTTTTCAAGCGCAAATTCAAGTGTACGACCATCAATAACAAGAGCAAGTGGCTAAAATATAAAATAGATCGAGATAAATACATAATTTCACTCAGATTTTATTCCTTTACAATAATTATTTGTTACCTCTGCTTCGGGATTGATGCGACCCTTCATTGCTTGAATTTTTTTCTCCAGAGATTCTTTTGTTTCCCAATGACTCTCCTCGTTAATAACAATCAAAGTCATTTCTTCTTGAATTAATTTACAACTAAGGCCAATGTTTATTGCAGTTTCCTGTCTGTCACCAGTAAGAACCCAAATTTTGATGCCAGCTTGTTGAAGGGTATGAATAGTTTCTGGTACACCATCTTGTAATTTGTCTTCAATAGCTGTTGCACCCAAAAGGAAAAGATTTTTTTCAATCATTTCAGCAGCTTTATCGAGTTCTTCCTGACGATTCGTTAAAGTTGTAGAAGCTTTTTCATAAACACCAGCCCAAATTCTGTATTCTTCCTCTGATATCTCACGCATGGATATACAAAGAGTTCTAAGACCTTCGGTGGCATATTCTTCAAGATGTTGTAAAGTCTGTTCAGTAAAAGGATTATTCTCACTTAAACGTTCTAAAATTACCGTATCGGCTCCTTTACAATATAACTTTATCTTTCCGTCAGGACTGCGGACAACTGTTGACATACGCTTACGTGTACTGTTGAATTCACAAATATTTAAAACTTCAAATTCCTGTTCTTGTCCATTAACAACTATTGTAACTGACTTTGGACGACGCGTCTAAAAAGAGAAATAGATTTTAAAAAAAGGACTCACTATAAACTATAAAATATAAGTAGAAATATTGAAATACCGTAAATTTAAAATCAAGCGTCGAAGCGCCTTTTACAAGAGCACCTTCGTCAGGTGAAGAAGCCTGATATATGATATCTTAAAAGAAACGATGATTTTTAAGTCAATACAATAATATCATAACGAATCAATGTATAGATAATGAATTTAAACTTACCATTAATATTTTTCTCGTTTCCTTCAGGTATTACAGTGTGACATACTGCTAAAAGAGTCAAGAATTCATTGATGACATTAGCGGTTGAATGATTTCTCAAATTCGATTTTAGTTTCTTAAAGTCGTGTAAGCCAACTTCTACACCATCGATTACTCGAGCACGCTTTGACTCTTCTACTGCATCTGCATATGCTATCCCGGCAATAGAACATTGCCTAAACTCCATTTCGTTACATGTGAGTGTACCAGTTTTATCAGAAAATATATATTCAATCTACAAATAAGATAGATATAGATTTAACAGAATATATATATATCAATGCTATGAATTATGAATTTAACAACATACTTGTCCTAATTCCTCAACTAAACTACTAGTTCTGCATAAAGCTGGAGTATCGGTCTTTTCATAATACATATCCAGGTCCGAATTAATCAATGAAGCTTGTTGAAATTTCACAACTTCCATTGTAACAATCAAGCTACAAATCAAACATAAATTTACTTACTTCACTAATAATAACGTAAAAAATGTCATGAAAATGCGTACCTTATAGGAATTAAATTATTAAACAAGATTAGAAAAGTCAATATATTGAATCCAAATTGACTAAAAAGATTATCGTTCGCTCCGAAAAGATTAAGATATGGCATTTCATTGCCGAATTTCAACTAAACATTAAAAAAAAAATTATTTTAAGATTCGAAGAAATAAATATATATTGCAAATACTTACAGCTCTGATAAAAAATCCGATAGAACACGCCAAACTCATTGTCAACAAAATACAGAATAAGAAAATAATCTGAATATTGACCATTTTTTCAACGCTAGTTCTCTTTATGGGTGTTGCACTGATTTTTAAAGTTACTTTTAATAAAATATTCTTAAAAAAATATATATATATATATATTTCAATTTTCGTACCTGGCATTTCTCATCAATTTAGTTTCATGGCCGGTAAAGATTACAATACCATAAATCCATGGCGTATTCCTTAATTGTGCACCCTAACATCAAAAGAAAAGATAAGAAAAGAAAGTTTAAAACATGAAAAATATGGATTAATTATTCCAAATTAGACTAACCCTGAGTAACAATTGAGTAGGATCCAAAGGAACTTGTTTTTGGCCATTTATCCCATTCATTACTAGTAAACCATCATATGTATATAAACTATTATTCGGCTTTTCGGATTTAACATAACCTATTTATTGAAATTTGAAATCATTGACTCAATTTCCATTTAAACTAACTTCAATGGATCAAAATTTATAGTTTATAGATTGGTTACCTCCTAAACGGCTTATTTCTGAAGGCGAAATTAAATTGGACGTTTCACTAGATGCTTGTTTAATTTTCAAATTGGTTTCACTAAAAAATTATAAAATGAAGAGTATGTTGTTACTTAATCATTACTATAAGCGCTGTCACCAACAAATTTATATTTTTTAAAAAAATGGCAACAGAGTCGCTGGGCAATTTTGCATGTCTTGACAACATGGATTATGTTAGCACCTTGAATAATAAATATATAGTAGGTCAAACTAACCCGTCCAAATTACTTGTTTCAATATAGCATAATCCTTCAGGTTCAGAACTACTGAGCAAAACCAAATCAGCTGGAAAGAAATCTCCACTCTCTACGCGAACAATATCTCCAACTTTTATTTCATTCCACTCTTTTGCAACAAATGAGCTTCCTTGTAAAGTTTTACAGGAACGTTGATTGACTTCTGCGTCAGAACGATGCCGTTTCTTAACAATTGTAATTGAATTAAAATTGACAAAAAAAATTTTTAATAGTTGAATAATAAAAATGCGGTGACATAATTGATCATAAAATATTTCTCTTAACTTACGAAGTCTTCCATAATTTCCTTAAGTGCAGTAGCTGTCAAAACGACAACTAAAGTACCAAGCGTCGTATATGGGTTTGTTGGAGATACATCTTTAATTTGCTATATACAAAACGTGTAAACAAGTTTTAGAACGCGTACATATATAGTTTAAATAGTATAAAATTTCATTTTCCTTAATACATATGTTTATAGATAATCTTTGAACCTCCAATTAATTAATAATCTCTATAACTACACCAAAGGATTAAAAATTGAATTACCTGTATGCAAGCTAAAATTCATAAATATGAGTTAAATAAACGCAAGAATAAAAAAAACGAAAATTGAACAGAATTGAATTGAATTGAATTGATCATGCACCTGTAAATAAAAAAAACAAATTGGCATATTTCGAAAATTGTTCATACAAAAATTTTGGTAAAAAAGTCAACCAATTGTATTTTGCTGTAGAAATTCTATTATGCAAGAATTTTTGTTGTAAGTTGCGTGGAGAATCATTAACGTATATTGTACGTCCATCATCATTGTTATTTGAGCCTCCTCCTCCTTCAGTTTCAGGCTTTATAGTATTACTTATAGAAGTCCGCATTTCACCTGGGCCCATTGATGGTGAAGGTGATGTATTGAGAGCAGCATTTGACGTTAAAGGTAGATTAGCCTCAGACATATTGGAATTTTGACGCATAAGCCCAGTAGAGTCTGAATAAAATGCTTCCTGGTCTTCGTCTTCGTCTTCTATAAAATCGTTGTAATAAGGGTTTAATTGAGAATACGTCAAAGACCGTCGATTTTGGTTCCCTGGTTGGATATAAGTTGGTCTAAAAGATGGTGGTGTGACAGCTGCCTGCAGACTCTGCAGCGGGACAGGCTGATTAATAGAGTTTTGTTGAATTTCGACGGTTTGTTGGTCGTCGAAAGGGTCGATGAGATTTGGAGGTGAAGGTCGCGGAGGTGAGTTATTATATGAAAAACCTGACATTCTGCGATAATAAACAGAAAGAAAAAGCAAACATGGATATCCGGTATCCTTGTTGTGCAAAATTCGATTATGTCACCTGTTATATTAACCTAACTTGTTGTATTAGCTCCCGCCAAATTTTTAGACCTTTTGGGCGGCCGATTAGGAGTTGTCACAATAATATATAGTAAATATTGAAGCCTCAAGGCTTTGTTTTCTTAACCCGCAATTGAATCCACCAAACCAGTAATGATCAGACTATTTTGCCAATCGTTCCGAAATCTGGGTTTAAAAAAACGCATATGATCAGATTTTCCTTTTCTAATTATTTACTTGTAAAAAGTGAAAGTGTAAAACTATACCAATAGATAATAATACTTATTAAAAAAAAAATAGATTCATGAAACCAATATTGTAAATATTATCAATACAAGATTTCCATTTTTATCTACTGTGGACATCACATTTGTTTCATTTTCCTGCTGCGTACAATTCGATTTTTTCCTTATCAAATAATTTTTAAAAATTAAATTTCAAACACATAACACACTGGCAATACAAATATTACAAAATAACTGAAACTTAAATATTGATATATTATATCTAAAAATACTAATTCGTATATATTGTATTAAATGTTACATTACATTGAATACATTCTTAACGTACATATAATTTATCTTCTAGATTATTGTTCAATAGTAGAATTATGATACTTTTTATGGTTCTTATAAAATTTTAAAGACTTGTTAATATTTTGTTAATATTACTATTGATAACCGATAATCTAAATAATACTTAAAAACGCGCAAATTTAATAAATGTATAAAAAATGCTGTTCGAATTTGCATCAGCACGTTGAATCTTTATTAATTGTGCTTTAAAAAAAAAAATCGGGAATAGGCGAAAAAAATTGTAAAGAATAAAAACCACCGGAGAGAGCGGAAAATGTTAAAATTAAATATTCACGTGATCATTTAAAGTTAAGTCACGAGATAAATCATTACTAATTGTAAAATTTCCGATTGTAGCCGGCCGGAAACTTCAATAAGAGGCTGACATACCTGTCAGCTGGTTTTTTTCCTGGTATAAAGGAACTCAAACATCACCTGTAGTGACTAAACAGTCTTCGCTTTTCACTTTCCCACAATAAATCTATTTCTTCTTTCATACTTTTCCTTTATTCTTACAAAAAACTACTCCCACTTTAAACCCAATATACATCACAAAATGGATAGAATTGACATGAGTTTGGACGACATCATCAAGGACAATAAAAAGAAGTCAAAACAGGCAACAAAGGGAAATAATGCAAATGGCAACAGCACCAAAACGAGTAACGGAAATAATTTAAACAACAATAATAAGAGTAAAACGGGACCAATTCGTGCTAGATCAGCGGGTAAAAAGTTGACTCGACAGAAGGCCAGCCCATATCCGGTAAGAATCCAAACAGCTTCATAGGGAAACGCTGGGAAATACAAGTTGATCTCAATGGTCGACAAATGGCCAAAACCAAAAGAAAGTGCTGTTCTTTCAGAAGAATATGGCGAAACTTTTTGTTATGGTCTTTTGATACTTCCCGGCGGGTTTTTGACTTTTTGGAAAACACAACATACCGATTACGAGACTGATCAATTCCGTTACGGCTGTTTTGATATCTTGCCATCAAACATATTTAGAGACCTAAATCTCTAAAGACAGGAAATCCGAACGGTGTTTGGCGTCACGACCTTTTCTCATCTCTTAATCCTGGTGGACAAACTAAACGACCTGCTCAAACAAATAATGGTCTTTCTATCCAACATCGTTTGGGTACTGGAAAAACTTCTCCTGGTAATGGAGTTGCGAATCGATTGTCTATCAAAGGTGTTGCCGGTGGCAAGCAAACAGAATTTTCTATCAAGGGAGAAGGTGGTCCAGCTACTATTTACATTAACAACTTAGCTCCTGGTACAAGTGCTAATGATGTCAAAGTAAGTAATTATTTGAGGAATTAGAAAAAAAAATCTTTTTTAATATCAGGGAAGTTAATAACGAATTATGGTTCTTTTATCATTTGTAGACCGCCTTTTTGGAATTTGGCGATATTTCAACAGTAAATATCAAAGATGATAAAATTACTCGCGGCGCTATTAGTGCAGAATTGACTTTTTCAAGCAAGCCTTCTGCTATTGCTGCCATAAACAAATATAATACAGCTCTTGTCGATGGTATAATGCCGTTTATATATTAGAATTCATATTTATCTCTTTCTATGAAACGAGAGCTAATGAAGAGATATCTTTTTGTGATTATATCTTATTTGTAATAATTTATTTTTATTAGGTCGAGTCTTAAAAGTTCAATTGAAACAAGCCGGAACCAACAATAATCTTGGTGCTGCTTCATACCGGCTTAGAAATAAGCCCAATAAGACACAATTCAGTACGCAGTAAGTAATTATAATTATTTAAATAAATTATTGAACATTTTATTTATTAATTTATTTATTTATGTTTTCCTTGTACAATAGAAATGGGAAACTCTATTCTGATCATTTGACTGGAAATTCAGGTCAAAAAAATCGAGGAAAGGGAAAACAACCGTCATTTAGCGGTGTTTCTTTCTAATCACGTTTTATACTCGATTTATATTCATATACCCTGACACCTGAAAATCGACGGTTTTCTTCAATGTGGGAAAGTGTAAGAAAATCTTTATGCCGGATTATATATGGATAAATAGAAATTTTCTCCATAATATTCGCTAGTTTGTTGGATGGTATTAGCGGTCTCACTTTTTTACTTTTTCTTTCTATTTACATCCCCTTTTTTTTGCGATATTTTTATGTAATTATTTTATATCAATATTAGCAGGTATATTTAGAATAAAGCCAAGTCGCAATGATATAACATTATTCCTTCATTTTATACAAAGAGAAATAACTTACTATTCAAATACCAACTTTGATTGCAATTTTTGAACGGCATTTATTAATTCTTTTAAATTTTGATAATAATTGATATGATATTTCAACATTATATTTTAAAACCAAAAACTCACACTAAAACTTATGGTTAGTGACCGTACATAATGCCACCAGCCTGGCTTTTTATTTAATAATTTATTATGATGTAGTTAAAAATTGTAGATTGAAAGAATCAAAAAAGAATTAATATACTTCTGAAAATCATATAATAAAATTCAAATATTTATAAAAGAAACAATAGTTTAACTCACGGGAATATATAACATATCTCCTGGTTCCAAAACACAATCCAGATAGTTAGCAGAAGCAAAAAGTGGGAAACGTTCTAAATCTGGTGTTTCAATCTCAACCTTTATTGAAGTATAAAATAAATAAAAAAATTATTTTAATGATGAAAGAGTATTTAAAGATAAAAAACCTGACTAGTATTTCCCAAAAAACCATCTTGTTCAAAAGGATAAACTTTCGAAGTTTCGGAAGGAGCATATAGTCTAATATACTTATTTCCGACTATTTGAGCTAAAAGGTTATGATAAGGATCAGTATGCATAGGAGAAATAGTTCCTTGAGGACCAAACCATGCATTTATAATAACATCTGAGGGTGGAGTATATTGCACATGATTGCAGGATATAAAATATGGTTTAGTATCAACAAAACAATAATCAGGAATTATTATATCTTCCTTAAGACGTGGAATTTGTGCAAACAAGTCGTGTTGAGCTAAATAGGCAATGTCCCCATCATTAGTTGGATTTTTAATCCATTTTTCTACAAATTCTTCAAAATTCATTAATTTCTGTGTCCATGAATTATCAGTATATTTTGCTCCAATTTCAACTGGAACTATTCTCTCCTTTCCAGTAACACTCAAAAGATAATCGAAATCCGCCCAAGGATTTGTCGAAAGTGCTGGCCAATGTGAAAGACAAGAAGTAAGTATAATAGGTTTAGGACTCAGCGTATTAACATGCGAAGTGAATGTAGCCAAACTAGGAGATGAAAGTTTTGGTATAGGAAATTTTATAGTTGGTAGATTTGTATTCTCTAATTTTATACGTTTTTCAAAATCGTTCTCTCTTTCATTATCATCAATTCGACGTTTTGTTAAAGATTCGGTTATGTTATTAGATTCTCTATTATTTTCTTCAATATTTTTTATAGTATTTTCCACTTCCTTAATTAGATGGAAAATCATTTCCTTCCTGCCATTTCCAGGAGCTCCTGTCATAACCAAAGCCATATCTAAGGTTTTAACTATATTTTTCCATGATTCTTTTTCCTTTTCAGTTCTCAACGCTATAAAAATTTCACACAAACTTTTTACAATACTTGCATCAGTATATAAACGTCTCCAGCATAGAGGAACATCTTTGTATGGATAAGCATGCAATTTTTCGGTAGCAAAGTCGATAAGAGAGGATATTTTTAATAACACTGACGAAATTTCATCAGAATTTACGTGATATACTGTGTTTAAACACCCATGAAGTAAATATAGAGATGCTTTATCACAAATAGAAAGTTCTGAAATAATTTAATTTAATTTAATTTAATCATTGAAATTCTTTTAAAATTCTAAAAAAACATTTAATTTTTAAATCAAATATTATTGTTAAAATTTTGAAAGTTCTTTACCATCCTCAAAGTTCGTATCCTTTAATTTTTCGATAATTGTTTCGCAAGTTTTTAAGGACATATGGTTTATATTACATAATAAAAACAGCAATTCATTTTGATTGAAATTTTTAAATTTGATCCTTTGTAGATCGGAAAATTCGGAAATTCGGTAATCATTCGACTCTCAGCATTCGATTTTAGCAGCATTCGAACATCAAAAAATCATATTATTTATGCAGCTGAGACATTCTCACAATACTCTCACAATCATACGACTTGCTAAAGCTAACACGGGTGTGACACTGTGATTATCACCCAGAAAAGTATATATAGCGTCAATTCTTTAAAGCGCGCTATAGCCGTAACATAAAAATATATATATAAAAAAAAAAGCTAACATTAAATGAAGAAAAAAGGAGGTACAATTATTTCAGTTTTAATTTATATATTTCGAGGTGAAGTTATCAACCAAAGTAATATGATTTCTTCTTACTATTTGTGCAAAGTCAAATCAACTGTTGTGAGCAGTAAAACCAGTTCCACGTCAACTTCAAAGTTAAAAAGAAGTCGTTCTATAGGAGAAGAAGAAGTTTCTGTATCTGTAAAAGAAGCAAAATTAGGTAAGTTTTTTTTCTGTTGGACTTTATTTTTTTTTCATAACTATATTTTTGTATATTTTTTAAAACATTATTTTATAGAAACCACTTCTGATGTATTTTCGATCTTTAAACCACAAGCTGATATTCAATGGCGTGAATTTGAGTCCGTTATGATCGGACAATATTTGACATCAGATATTAAAAAAATCGAAGGTCGATCTAAGATTGGCGCTTTTGATTTGGTAGGTACAAAGATCAGATTAATCTATGTACAATTAAGTCTAATTTGTTCTCTTCATAAAACCAACAGGATAGCACTTTAATAATTGTAAATGGGACTCATAAACGGTCAAAAGATGAAAATGATTGGAAATGGCGGAGTAAAGTTATTCCTAAGAAGTTGAAACAATTATATGAAGAAGGGTATGAAATTTACTTTATTCATTATAGAATCAAGATATAGAATAATATTACGTTATTATTATGTAGTTACAAGATTGTTATAATAACTAATCAAGGTGGATTGGAAATTTCAAACAAGACCAGTGAAAAGAAAAGAAAAGAATTCAAGGCTAAAATTAAGAATATAGTTAACAATGTAAGCTAGCGATTTGTCAGTATTTTGATTGTTTATTGCTTGAATTACTCATGATAATTATTATTTTTTTTTTTTTAATAAAAAAGTTAAATGTACCTTGCGAAATTTATGCTGCAACTGCAAGAGATAAATATCGAAAGCCAATGATCGGAATATGGAAATATATTACAGAACATGGGAATGACGGAGTTATCACTGGTGCATATTATTTATTAAGTTATAGCACTTTTTGCGATTTCTAAATCTATTTTATTATGATAGACATGGAAGAGAGTTTTTATGTTGGTGATGCTGCTGGTCGTGGTGAAAACTGGAAACCAAATGCACCACGTGACTGGAATGATACCGATAGGTGAGTTAGTTTTTTCCTGAAAAAAAGTAGGAATTTTGATTATATATTTATACAATCTTTTTTCTCTTTTATATAGAAAATTTGCTGAAAATATTGGAATTAAATTCTATACACCCGAAGAATTTTTTGAAAATGATAAACCGGCACCTTATTCCTACGGTGATTTTAATCCGAAAAGTCTTTCACAGGACGGTTCGTATCGCTAAGCTTTAATAATATGAATACATTTTCATTATTTCAATTAAACTGATTTTACTATTTTTAATGATGTTAGTTGAATTATTTGCTCCCGCTTCACCATCACTTGTTCCATCAGATAGACATTGTGAAGTAATTGTGTTTGTTGGATATCCTGCAAGCGGAAAATCTTCATTCGCTGAGAAATGGTTAATATCTAATGGATATGTACATGTGAATCAGGTATCTTAATTATGAAAATATCTTAATTCTCTTGTTTATTGAAAGGGTTATTTACAAAAATTGTACTTTGTTAGGATAAATTAAAAACAAAAGCAAAATGTATCAAAAGCTGCGAAGAAGCTTTGCAGGAAAAAAAACCTGTTGTTATAGGTATTAATTACAAATTGATTATAGCAATAAATTTTATTTGTTTTAACATGTGCGTATTTATCATAGATAATACAAACGCTGATGTTGAAAGTAGGAAAGCATATATTGATCTGGCAAAAAATTATAAAGTTCCAGTCCGATGTTTTTGGTTCCAAGCGTCAGAAGCTTTGGCTAAACATAATAATATGTATAGAGCTTATGGCAATATTGACGGAGTAAGTTAATTGTTCTCTTTTTTCCTTATTATTATAATACTAATTATTTTTGTTTAACAATTTAAAGCCTCGCCCATTACCTGAAATTGCATATTCAGGATTTAAATCAAGATTTGTTGAACCAAAATCTGAAGAAGGATTTGATGAAATTAAAAAGATTAATTTTGTTTTTGAAGGGAATGATGATGAAAAAAGAAAATGGGAGATGTGGTATACATGATTAATAGATTTAGATTTATCAACAATAAATGATATTTAATTATATTAATGAAACTAGAGACTAGATGTGTTCTACCGTATATAAGTAGTTAATAGTAGTCAGGGTTCTGTATTAGTTTATAGATTTTAGAAAGTTAATAAGCATTATAAAAGTCATGTTACTTCTAAAATATGTTATAAGTGATATGACAAATGTTAGCTACATTTTATATTTTAAGCAGAAGATATTAATTCTTTATTTTTAATACGTATTTTTTTTAAAGCATCTTATAATGTTTAAATTAAATTGTATTTCTATAATTTAAATAGATTTAATTACAAAGTTAAGTGAAGATGAATAAGAGTAGAGATTTCTAATAATCTTTTTATACTATTTTTATAGAATTCCCCCATATACTAATTTATTTTAAAAACAACAGTTTTTAATAAAGACAACAATGTTTTTAAAAGTGTAATTATGGAAAAAATCAACTACATATCTAAATTTCGATTCTTTATATTATTATGTTAAAATAATAATACAAATATTAAAAATTTCGTAAATTAATTTTTTAATGATAATTTATATAAGGCAAAAAAAAATGTATGTTTATATTATTATCTTGGCAACTCGAGTACGAGCTCTATTAAAGTGATAAATATCATAATAATTCTCTTCGTTATAATATTATTTACATAATATATAAAATAAATCTTATATTTATGCGAATTAATTTAATCAGGTTTCATTAACAACAATTTTTTTATTTGGATCCATAAACTTCTTTAATATTTCGCCAGTTACTTCGGATTTCCTCTTTTTTTTTTAAAGAAAAAATTAATTAATAAATTTTTTTGTAAATTAAAATTTATAATATTACATACTTGTTTAAATTCATCAACAAATTTCTGTAATACTTGAATACAACGTGCTTTAAGTTCACCGGTCATCATTTCTCCAGATACATATTTCTACAAAGTAAACAACAATTAAAAGAAGTTGATCATTACATAAGAATTCGTAACAATAAAAATAATAACCTTTTTAATTTCGTCCAATTCTTCATCGTCATCTAAAAATACTGATAAATATTGATAAGCAACGTCAACATCTGGATCGCCTCCTTTTAACCTGTGTTCCTCAGCACTATCGCGACCACCTGAGAAAGCGTACTTGTTGATCTAAAATATTCCAAAATGTCTGTTAGATGAATTAAATTTCCAATTACATTTATTAAAGAGGCAAACCTTTTTTTTAATTTGGTTAGGCGTATCCGACATAAAAATTGCAGAATTGTCAAGTGAGGCGCTCATTTTCGTTTGAGAACCCTGATTTTCAAAAAAATATAAGTACAAATACTATATCAAATATTTAACATGTCCAGGAAATCATTAAAATTACTTGAAGAGCTGGGAAGAATTTAGCATGAATAAGGCTAGGTTTAGGATATTTTAGTTTTTGCGCGACGTCACGCGTCAATCGAAAATATGGATCCTAGATCAAACTTTCGTCAGCAAATTAATAAATGTATATTTATATAGAAATAGAATAATAATTTACTTGGTCTATAGCACAAGGAATCACACAAGGAATATTACTTCGAGTTCCAAATATTTGTGGAAAACTATTGGAAAATGAAGGTGCAGCTTGTACCGCAACAAAATGAGTTTTGGCAATACAGTCACTATAACAACGAAATAAAAAAAAAAAAAATATTTAATTAACAGAGACTATACAAATACACAAAAGACATCAAACACACCTATCAACGAAACCAAAAGTGGCCTTTGACTGACTGTTTGTGATGCTTTTCGCGATCTTTACAATATTATGATAAAATGGACCTCTATTTACGTCATACAGATAATACGGATAATAGGATAGTAACAATAATTAATATACACGGAAAAAAGAATCATTCTAAGTAAATGTTTACAAACCCGACATAATCAGTATCTGCGAAAATAAATGTCTTGTCTGGATCAAATCCACATGCAACAATATCTTTGGCGTTATCATAGGCATATTTGCGCGTTTCTTCTAATGTCAATCCAGGCTTAAATATAAATTTTTCGTCATCTAGATAGAATATATTAAATTACGCGTTAACTAAATATTTATAACCAAGATTATGAGACAATTACTAACCAGTTAACTGAATGACAATTGGTACATCGAAAACATCTTGTAACCACCTAATGCCAGAAAAAACACTTTAATTCATGATGGCATAACTTTAGATAAAAAAGTTTAATCCTCTTACTTGCAAAAAATAAAAGGGATCATATGTCCAAGATGCATGCTTGAACTACTTGGACCGCGTCCTGTATAAATAAAAAAAGGCTTATTTTGCTCGTAACGATCCAGTATTTTGTTGAATTCTCTAAAAATTTAATAATCTCCAATTAATAATATAAAAAATGAATTGGAATTATGAAATTGCAAACATATAAAGCACCTATGTGAGAAGAAAATCCCTCTTCTCAAGAAAGTGTGACATTTCTTTCCAGTCAACGTTTCGAACCTTTGTAAAAGTTCCTTATCAATAGGTCTCGTTCCAAATTTTTTTATAAGCTTATCATAATCAATGGCTCGACCATTACCGTCCACATCCCAAGGCGTAACTGTTTGTTCATTTGAACTCTTTGAACTATTCGAAATATACCTATAATAAAAATAAAAACAACAACCTATGCCACCGATAACGAAGCCGCCGATAAGACTGCTACGGATAAGAAAACGTTGGTTTTCCATTATTTTACAAAAGAAATTGAAATTGAAGAAAATTGACGTTAGAAATCGATTTTTTCGATTTTTATTAACAATCGAAGTGAGTCAGGATGATTTTGATTTAGTAATAAATACCTATAATAAAAACAACAACCTATGCCACCGATAACGAAGCCGCCGATAAGACTGCCACGGATAAGAAAATGTTGATTTTCCATTATTTTACAAAAGAAATTGAAATTGAAGAAAATTGAAGGTAGAAATCGATTTTTCGATTTTTATTGATTGACAATCGAAGTGAGTCAGGATGATTTTGATTTAGTAATAAAAAAAGTGTGATTATCATCATTTTTCTTGAGCAATCTTCCGATTATTATTGTTAATCATGACAACTTCGGAAATTGATACATTAAGAAACTTTTTGTGTTCTCCTGAGAGCATTGATGCTACTGAACTAGTAAATACTTTGGGAATTATAAATATTTCCATAGAAGGTAACTTATTTATTAGCTTTTTTAAATCTTTTTTTATTTCACAATTTAACCGTTTCTTCAAAAGGACCGAACGGAGGACAAATAAAGCAAACGATCCTTAACAGTATACCTCTTTCGGAAATTTTCACGCTTTTAGGAGGTTATAGTGATGCAGTGACTTCTACAACTTGTAAAATTCTAGAGAAGTTACTGCAGTCAATGAATTATACTGATATAATCTCTTCAGGGCTCAAGGTTTTATTTTAAAAAATTTGGTCTAATAACAAATTTCATTATTATTCTCATTTAATTTGCTTTTTACCTTTAGGAACATTTGGCGCTAGGTCTTCAATTTAATTCTTCTGAAGTTCGAATCTTGGCGTTGTGTCAAGTCGAAAAATGTTTGGAGTCCGAAACAGCAGTTCAAGACTTAGTATTATATTAATTTACATATTATTCATGATTTTTTATAGAGTAATAAATAATTATACGGTTTTATTCTTAGGTTGGTTCGCCGATATTTCCTGTCATGCTGGAAGGATTGGGATATGAAGATATTTTAATATCAGCAAAAGTGACCGAATTCCTTATAAAGGTAAATATGTACAAGAAACGCTAACTTTGATACATGAGGTTGAATATTTTTATTTATTTATTTCCTTTTGTTTTTTTTAGCTTGCCAATCACGCCGGCGGGTTACATGCTATATTTGATTCAGGATCAATTGCGATTCTGAATCAACTCTCTCAGGGGTAAACAAGGCTTTAAACTCATAATTGAGATTATTATATTCAAGTATTTGATTTTCTTCTCAAATTATAATTCAGAAACGAGTCAGTAAAGTTTCGCGTATTTGATTTGATATCTCAAATATCAATATCTTCTCCAGAGGCATTTCAATTATGTGAATCTTCTGGTGCCTTAAATGCGATAACTTCTGGATTTAATTCAACCGATCTATTGCTTAAATTAAATGCCATAGAAACCTTTTCCAAGGTTTGATAATTAATCATGTTTGAATTTTAAGAATTATAAATTATTAGTAATAGTTTATTTATTATTGAAGATAAACCAAAGCCATGCTGGATATATATTTCTTGAAAGAGCTGGAATCTTGCAATCTCTTGTTGATGTCATGACACATGATGATGATGGAGACATTGTATTAGTATTAGTAAAATGTGCGGCACTAAAATTTTTTGGAAAATTATCAGAAATAGAGGTGTGTCTACTAATCATTATAAAAAAAATGTAATCATTCAAGTCAATAATAATATTCAATTTTGTATAGGAAGCGGATTTTTCAGAGGTTAATAATAAATACAAGATATTGTCCATTATTGATTCTTATCTATTAAGTTCTAATTTGGATTTAAAGGTCTGTTTCTGTTTTTAACCAGAAAGTCAAATAATTTTAGTTTAATTGTTGGTTTTGTTTGATTTTGTTTAATTATAAGATAACTACGATTAATATTATCGGAGTTATTGGAAGCAATCCTCGTGGTCTAAAATTATTAAATGCCAGTGTAGCACTCGGCAATTTTATGGACCTTTATCAACATTCAGCGGGTGATATTAAAATAGCTTGTTTACAAACCATTTCATGTTTATTTGGTGCTAGGTAAAACTATTTATTCCTTTTTTAAAATAATTTAATAATTTTAAATTTATAATTTATTTATCTGACTCGTTTTATTTTTAGTGAAACCCCACCAACAGAACTTTCTGATATTGCTCATCAAATTTATTTTCAAATTGGAGGTAATAGTATATTTAGACTTTAATTTTATTATATTTCAACTTAACCAAATGAAAATTATATTATTAGGCGCTCCTACCCCTCTTTCCACATTAATATCTAATACTAAACAAACTTTAGAAGATCTTCGGATTGCTAGTTTTGCTATTATGCAAAAAATGGCTCTGCATCCTTGGGGTCAAACTGAGATGTCAAATTCCAAAGAATTTATTGATTATATTTTAAATCGAACAACTGAAACTACTAAATTAGGAAAGGAATGGAAGTTTACGATTGTTCAAACTTTAGTCAAAGCTCATAATGCTGAAAATATTATTCCACCCAACATTTTTGATCGTTTAACACGATATCTTCGAGAAGGACCTTTCTATGTGAAAACAGAGGCTACTGTAGCATTTGAAAGTGCATAAAGTTATGTTTTGTCAAATACCGTAAGATATATTCCTTTAAATTATCATTTATGTTTGCGTATAAGTCGTCATACGTTGAAAAGGTTCTTCAAGATGTCTCGCTAATGCGTCAGTCTTTTTTCAATTAATAACAATTATTAATAAATTTATTAAAATATCTAATAATAAATCGTTCAAATTAATGTTAAACAGTATAAAAACCTTTGCTTTTAATATTCCTAGTTCAACTTCAGGCTTAGCAACAAGACAAAGTAACATATTGCTAACCGTAGTTATCGCAACATTTCCTTTCTTTAAGGGTTTAATAATAGTGAGAATAAATAATAAAAATGAATGGTAAAAAATTAAGAAAATTATTCACCTCGCATTCAACCAACAAAAATTTTAGATTATCATCACGCATTAAATTCTTTCCATTTTTTTCAAAAGTGCTCCATATATTTGAGGCTATTGCAGCATAAACTCTAGCATCACGATCCGAGTCAGAAATAAAAGCTAAGGGAGAACCCTCAGAATTTAAAAGACTGTAAAGTTTCTTAAATAAGTTAGTAAATCCGAAATTATTTAATTTAACAGTGTGTACGACGACATAAATGTGAAAAAAACATACAGTGTTGCTTTAACACCGCCAGTAGTTGCTTGTTTAAGAACTTGAGAAATTGCCTTTGGTTTGAGCATTTTTTAGAAAATGAAAAATGTTTAGGCTAATTTTGATATAAAAAATAATTTTTTGTTACGTTATGCATTAAGTTAAATTACGTCAATAACCGACGGAACGTCAGTTTCAGAAAAACAACTATCACTAGAACAAATTAATTATAGCATATTCATTGTCACTATAATATATTCATACAAACCGTAAATAAAAGGAAAATAATAAAAAGATGGCAGTGGTGGCACTTTTTGTGGCAGTGTTGTACACAACAAATGATTCCAGTTCAATACCATTGTGAAGCATTTTGTATGGCCATAGCAGATAGCACTCATGCTGAGTCAAAGGAAACAATCACTACTATTTCAATATTCATGCACATTCGTCATTGCTATTTCAGAAACACTTTCATACATCTATGTTATTTAAAGTAATAACTAATAATTAAAAAAGTACATAAAAAGATTTAGATTATCTATTTAATTTTTGTATTTATCTAGAGTTCATCTACATCTTGCATAACCCCGTATTTTCTTTTTTACTTATTACGGCTTGATCATACCTGATGTTGATGTACCGGTGAAAAAAAAAAATTTTTTTTTAAAATATAAAAATAGACAAAAATTTAATTTTACCCCGTACTCTGAAAAAAAAAACTTTGCTTTCAAAAGGAAAAAAAGGGTTATTTCTAAATATTAATTAATAATAATGACTACATACGGACGCGATCAGGTTAACGGTACTGCCGAAGGGAAGGTAAATAACCCATATATGCCACGATATGAAGAATTACTGAGCCGGGTTAATAACTTCTCTATCATCGAATCAACTCTAAGAGGTTCTTTTTTTTATACTTACATAACGAATAATTTGGATTTTATTATTTAAATAAATAATTTTAATTCGATAAATTCGATGATTTTTTTATATCTTTTAGAGGGAGAACAATTTGCCAATGCTTTTTTTGATACAGCTAAAAAGATTGAAATAGCCAAAGCATTGGATGATTTTGGAGTCGAATATATTGAATTGACATCACCAGCTGCTTCAGAACAATCAAGACAAGATTGCACGGCTATTTGTCAATTAGGATTGAAAGCTAAAATTTTAACTCATATCAGATGTCATATAGATGATGCTCGAATTGCAGTAGAAACCGGTATGATTCCTAAATTAGATCCTAATAATAATAAATTAATAATTTTAACATTTTAACTTTTCATGATGCACAGGTGTTGATGGTGTCGATATTGTAATTGGTACCTCATCATATCTTCGTGAGTTTTCTCATGGAAAAGATATGAATTATATTACCGAAAAAGCTACAGAAGTTATAAATTTCGTTAAATCTAAGGGAATCGAGGTTCGATTTTCCTCAGAAGATTCATTTCGTAGTGATCTGGTTGACTTATTAAGTATTTATCGCACTGTGGATAAATTGGGAGTTAATCGTGTCGGTATTGCTGACACAGTTGGCTGCGCAAATCCACGACAAGTTTATGAATTGGTTAGAACACTTCGTGGAGTTGTATCTTGTGATATTGAATGTCATTTTCACAATGATACTGGTTGTGCAATCGCTAATGCTTATGCAGGTAAGAAAACCTTTTTTTCGTGTATTAAATTATTATAACGATTTAAACTCTTATAAATTCATTTATTGATATTTTAGCTCTCGAGGCTGGTGCAACTCATATCGATACCTCAGTACTTGGTATTGGTGAGCGTAACGGTATAACTCCTCTTGGTGGATTTTGTGCTCGTATGTACACCGCAGACAAGAATTATATCAAGAATAAATATAAGCTTCATATGCTACGTGACCTCGAAAATTTGGTAGCTGATGCAGTTAGCGTTCAAGTTCCATTTAATAATTATATTACCGGTTATTGTGCATTTACTCATAAGGCTGGTATTCACGCCAAAGCAATTTTAAATAATCCAAGTACTTATGAAATCTTGAAACCAGAAGATTTTGGGTGAGTCTATGATCTTTTACTTGAAATAAAATTATTTAATTGTTGTTGATTTATTTATTTATTTATTTTTATTTTTCTTTTCTTTTCTTTTTCTTTTTTTTTTAAAAAAAAAAAGTATGACAAGGTATGTGTCTATCGGACATCGATTGACGGGCTGGAATGCTGTCAAAAATCGTGTTGAACAACTGGGTCTCAGTCTAACTGATGACCAAGTTAAAAAGGTTACTGCTAAGATTAAGGAATTAGCAGATATTCGTCCACAAAGTATGGAGGACGTTGATAATCTGTTACGAGATTATCATTATGCCGTTACTTCGGGAGATCAATCTCAAGTTGCAAATGTTTTATCTACCGCAATTGCAAACTAATTATAACCCCTCCCTAATTTTTCTAATTACATAGACAAAAGTATATTTTACTAATTTTACTCATTTCGGATAACTTACCCTTTCTTACCGAAGAACATTTATATCAAAGTCTATTCAAAATATTCAAAATACATTTAATAATATTATAAATGTATATACACATTTGTATATAATATAATATTATTTTTGTTGTCTCTTTTCTTTTTGTTTTATGTTGTTTTTTTCCTACTATTTGTGAAATTTGTGAAAAAGTATTAATAATAAATAAAAGTATTAATGTTATATTAATGGCGACTTCGCATCCTAAAGACGGTGGTTATTTTCATAATATATAAATGAACAAGTGTTATTAATTATTTAATATTATAGATATCTCTTTTATTTTTAAACTTATCTTGCCTATAATAAATTTAAAAACTAATTTAATAAATGAATTTTTATTTTAAATCCTAACTACATTTGACCGGTTTTCTTTACTAAAGACGAAAAAAGAAAGGACAATAAAACGTATTAAGATGTTATTAATGATTAAAGATACAATATAAATATGACTAATGGTAAATGTTCATACTTCATCCATTTCTTCAATCTTAGCTTTATCTTCATCTTTTTTTAAAACTCTGTTTTTTCGGTCCAGCAGACTCTTTCTGTCCTTATTAATCTTTAGCTTAGTTACCACAACATTTGACGGATGAATACCAACTGGAACAGTGTTACCGCTTATTTTTTCCTTACTGATGCGATCAATGTGGATAACCCATCTCTTACGATAAACTCTGAGTACTTTTCCATCACGACCTTTAAATGTACCACGTACGATACGAACTTCATCATCTTTACGAATTGGAATAGATCGAGTCTACATAAAATTTTTTTTAGATAATAATTAAAATATATATATATATATATTTGTTTTTTTTTAAAAAAAATTACATTATATTTGTCTCTAAGTTCCTTGGATAATGCAGCACTCATAATTTTCCTGCGGACCGAAGAGGGAGCAGAAAAATGCGCTTTTCGGCTTTTACGTCGAGAAGAACTAACATCTAAAATTTATAAAAATTTAATTCATAATGAGAATTCTTTTGCGCGAATTTTTTAATTAAATCCATCATTTAAAAATTGCATTATTATAAATTTAACTTTAAAACAATAAAATCCATGAATTAACTAAAAAAAGTCATTTAACAACTCTTTCACCTTTAGAGAATTTCATTGTTTCCGGCACTTAGATATCTAGAAGTGAGAGAAGAAAAATTTTTCAACTTCAATTTTTATGATTTATGTGTTTTGATACAACCAATTAAAACCTTTCAAGTTCTACTAATTATTGTGTAACGCTGAAAATAAAAAGACACGAACTTTTATCCCGTTTTCGAAACTTCTCAAAAATTAAAATGTCGTTAGATTTTTCTCAAATTTTAGGTATCTCTTTTTTAGAGTAGAGTTTAAGAGTTACTTCGTCAGCACACGTATTAAAACACGAAAAATTTTTACTGAATCGTTTCAAATTTCAATTTCAAGCTCCTAGTTTAAATGAAGTCTCCATAGCAGAAATCGAGGGAAAAATTTGTGAGTTGTACGCAGTACTTCAAAAAAATTGTGAATTTTTAATTCATTTGGCTTTCCTTTAGTGAATTTAGGATGTGCCAAGGATCAAAACCTCACACATTACATAAATTCCGAGGTTTGTTAAATATTATTTATTATTATGTGTAATACGCTAAAAATTAACATTTTATTTACGTTTATTAGGGTATTGTGTTTCCAAACCTGCAAGTCCCTTATCAACTTTCGCATCCAGATTTAGTTCACCTTGGTACACGAAGAGTTGTAACTGACCTACCAACGTCACCCACCGCTTATGGACGATTTATGGATTCAGTTAAGCATTCGATTGAGTAAGTTTCTTTTTATAAAATAATTCCCTTTTGTTTTATAATATCACTCATCATTAATCTTATTTTAAAAAGTGAGCAAATAAATCAAGCTCAAACATATATACAAGAAGTAACTCAAAATATTAAAGATATGCTTCCATCATTCTTGAATAATTACATTTTTAATGCCGATACCGAAGAATATATGCAATCGCTTCGTATGAAAATAGATCGTTATCCTGCGAAAATTATTGATTGGCATCCATATTTTTCTATATTTGCAGTAGCCCATAGAGTGGATGTCATTTTGCTATATGATTTACGTGTTGAAGGTGAGGATTCAGATACTTAATAAAATGTTTAAAAAACGAACCAGATTAATATATTTAGTTGAATTCTAGAATGGTTTCCCGAAGTCTTAGAGAATAGTTTGCAAAAGGAGATTACATGTATGGCTTGGAAGCCATTAGGCGGAAATATCTTAGCAGTCGGATGTCGGTATGTTTTCAACCAAAAAATAAAATATATACGTATGAATAATATTTTCTCATTAAATTCTTTTAAATAATTTATTAAGACGTGGAATTTGTTTATGGGAACTTTCACTTGAACAGAAGAAAGAATCGGTACCAACGCGTCTTCCCGCGTGGATGCGTCACCTTCATTACCCTGGACACGAAAATATTGTTTCGTTAGCTTGGCATCCACATGGATAATATCCTTAATTATTCCACGAAATTTTATTAATAATTATAACAATTATAATAATGTAATCTTTGACTTGTGACATAACCTCATTAGCAACAGGTTCGGCGGATGGTTCAGTAATTCTTTGGGATACAGCGTTTGAAACAGGAACACCTTTAACAAGAAATCGCAAAGTTACGTTTCTGAGCTGGAGTCCTGTTGGAGAATTTTTATTTTCATCATCATTGTAAGGTATTTTAGATAAAGTTATCGACATTCTTGTGCGTATTGTTTATATTAATCAAGTAATGTTATATAGAGACGGTAAAATTGAAGTATGGGAGACTCAACGATGGACATCCAAAACAATAACTTCGAATGGGTATCCCGTCGAGGTGAATTAATTTTTAATTATTTATTGCTTTTCTAAATAACTTATTATCCTGAAAAAAAATTTTTTTTTTTAAGACAGGATGTTGGACAACAGATGGACGTGCTTTATTCTTGGGATTCGACGGATATGAGGGTGAAATTCTTGTACTTTCTATATCTCCAAACTTTGATTACGAATGGTTACCTAAAATAGATTTATCTCCAATTCCTGAATGGTATAATATGAATTCTTTGAATTTTAATGTAAAGTATAAAATTTATATGTAACCATATAATGTTAACGTTTTCACATATCATCAGCGCTGGTATAGGAATTGAACAACTGGCAATTGATCCGAACGGCGAACGTCTTATTGCATGTTTCAAAAATACGCAATTGTTCAAAGATACACCATTGTTACTTGTTTTTGATGCTAAGTTACCATCGCAAGTGTCAAAGAAAGCCAATCTTTTGAATTTTCCAAGAACGATGCGAGGACCCGCATGGAATGATCCTGACGATCAAGGTGCATTTTTAACACAATCTGACCCCAAACCAGTATCCCTAAGCTTTGCTAAACAATTTACTAGAGGATCTTTATTAAGTCCGGTATGTATTATTAGGGTATCAATTTTTAAAACATAAAATTTATTAATTAATTTGTATAATTGGTAATTTAATTTTTAGGTATGGGGAGATGGCCAAATATCTTTTATACCATTTTTATACAATAAAGCTAATAAATAAACTTAATATATTATTTGATGGTTAATAATTGCATAAATAGTAAAGTATTTAAATATTTTTTCTTAATTAACAAATTAGAAACTCATTTAATTAAGAGTAAATTGGTATAAAAAATTTATATTTAAACAAATTAAATTATGTTTCATTAGTGTCATCTATATAGAACAAAATCATAGCAAAATATATGAATTGCTTTCGAGGTTGGGTAAAGTTACCACCCTCTCTTGGATAAAAGTTGATCGTCAGATAATGTGTCAATATTAATACCAACCTAAAATATTAACAAAATTACAGAAACGTTAACTAAATTCTTTCAATAATATAATCAAACAATAAAATTTACCATTGCATCACCAAGATCCTCCGATACTTCGGCCAAAATTTTAGGATCATCAAAATGTGTAACAGCCTGAACAATAGCTTTGGCTCTTTTAGCAGGATCTCCAGATTTGAATATCCCAGAACCAACAAAAACTCCATCGCATCCAAGTTGCATCATCATAGCTGCATCGGCTGGTCTAATAATATTAGAAATAACAAAATTAGTTAGGTATTTGGATGCATAAGTTATATTTAGAAATTTACTCACGTTGCTAAACCACCTGCGGAAAAATTTACAACTGGAAGTCTTCTAAGTTTGGCGGTCTCTTTTAACAAATTATAAGGTGCCTGTAATTCTTTGGCATAAGAAAAAAGCTCTTCTTCACTCATTAAAGAAGCTTTTCTAATCTCACGGGTAATAGTTCTCATGTGACGTACAGCTTCCACAACATTTCCTGTGCCAGCTTCGCCTTTAGTTCTTATCATTGCAGCGCCCTCATTAATACGTCGAAGTGCTTCACCCAAATTTTTTGCGCCACATACAAAAGGAACTTTATAGTTGTGCTTATTTATGTGGTTCTCTTCATCGGCCGGTGTTAGCACTTCAGATTCATCGATATAATCTATACCAATAGACTCTAAAATCTACAAAGATTGAATTAGATCGATAATTCAGTTAAATTGTTACAATAAAATACGTACTTTACCTGAGCTTCAACGAAATGACCAATTCTAACTTTAGCCATCACTGGAATTGTGACAGCTTCTTTAATCTCTTTGATCATCTTTGGATCTGACATACGTGCCACTCCACCTAAAAAATAGTAAATCGTTTATAAATAGTTCATTTTTAACTTGGCTAATTCATGATTCACGGTTCAATTACCTTGTATTCTAATATCAGCAGGCACACGTTCTAATGCCATAACAGCACATGCACCAGCCTCTTCGGCAATTCGAGCTTGTTCAGCATTAACCACGTCCATAATAACTCCTCCCTATATTTTTGAAATTCCATTATTTTTGCTCTCTCTACCCTTATTTATTTTGATTTGCTTTAAATGAATATTTCATAAAAAAACTTTATTAAAGGAAATTGACCAAACCTTTAAATTTTGGGCAAGTCCAGTTTTAACAGTAAATGTAGCCTGAGAGGTAATTCCATTTTGAGAAACTTTAGTCGAATATGATTCTTTGGATGCCAAATTAGCTGGAATGGAAAAAGACATTTTATTTTATTTTTTATTTTTATTTTTATTTTTTTAAATTAAAAAAATCAACTGTTTAAATTAAAAAAAAAATTTTTGATAAAAATTTTCGATTTATAATAATATATCTTCAATTACTAAATAAGGTAAATCTGATTGTCATTATTTATTATTCATTCATTATATAATCATTTCTTATAATTATAATTGAGTCTATTTTTAATAATTCCATTAAGAGTGTCGTCAAACGACAGTCAGACCAATAATCAGATTTTTTTTTATAGCTATCACTCTGCTTAATTACATAAATAAATTACATGGTTGAGATATACTAAATAAATATTATACAAAACGGCTATTTTTGAAGATCTTTGATCAAATCTATTCCATTTATCTGTTCTACATTAATATTTAAAATAAAATTAGTTCGCAGTATTCATTAAATCACGTTAATCCCCAAATACCATTTATTAATCAACTTTAATTTTTGTTGGTGGAGCTGAAATATAATTAGATGTAAAATAATTATTAGAAATAGAATATACTAAAATGATTCCAATAAATATATTCATTAGAAATTTACCGACGAATACTCTGCTCACGAATTTCAATATTTCATCGATTATGATAACAGGAAATGATATCCACAACACGGCTATCCATTCCTCCTGATTGAGAGGAACAATGGCAAATAAATTCTAATATGAAAAAATGTGATGCAATTAAATAATTATTAAATATACAAAAAATTCTCTAAAAAATATTTTTTTATAAATAATGTACTTACCGAAAAGAATGGTACGTAAAGAATCATGAAATGTAAAACCATTGAAAGTATAATAGACAACACAAGATACATATTTTTCCATATAGGTAAGGTAAATAAACTCTCATTTTCGCTAAGAGAATTAGTGGCATTGAACATTTCTATGGTAACCAATACCGAAAGTGACATTGTTGTGGCACGTTTTGCCATCTCATTAACAAACATTTCACAGCCGATTTCAGGGAATAATTCTCCGCATTTATGAAAGTTTGACTAAAATGATCACATAAACATTAATAAAAAATATATATAACACGTGTAAATAAATTATACAAGATCTTACCAATTGGTGAAATGATATTTGTGGCCCTTGATCATAAAATAAAAACCACCAAGCATATGCAAATACAGTCGCAGCGCCGACATAAGTGCCTACAACCATATATCGGAAAAACAACCATCTTCCAACAATAGGTTCATGTCTATCTCGTGGTGGTTGTCGCATGATATCTTGATCAGGAGGGTTGAAACCAAGAGCAGTTGCTGGAAGACCATCAGTTACAAGATTCACCCAAAGTAATTGAACAGGTATAAGTGCTTCTGGCATGCCGAGCAGTACTGTGAGGAAAATGCTATAAGATTGACCATATTGTAAGTAAATTTAACTAAAATTGAAATATAACAAATATTGATATAAGAAAATATCAAACCTCACTACTTCGCCAATATTTGAACTAATTAAATAACGAATGAATTGTTTTGTATTGTTATATATTGATCGACCTTCCTCGACAGCACCTTCAATACTTGCAAAATTATCATCAGCAAGAACCATATCAGCAGCCAACTTAGCAACATCGGTACCGTCACCCATTGCTATACCAATATCGGCCTTTTTGAGGGCTGGAGCATCATTAACGCCATCTCCAGTCTTTTTGTTTACGAAAAGATTAATCAGATTAATCATAATACTTATAAAATAAATAAAAAGATATATTTTTTATAAAAATATTTGATTCATACCATAGCAACAACTTCACCTTGACTCTTTAATAGTTCAACAAGTTCACTCTTGTGATTTGGTTCAGTTCTAGAGAACAAACTTACATGTCTAACAACCTCAAGTTTTTCATTTTTTGATAAATCATCAAATTCTCTGCCAGTTATTGATTTCCCCGTTATATCTTCATGTTCTCCAAAAATACCAATTTTCCTGCAAATAGCTTCCGCAGTGTTTCGATTATCGCCTGTGATGACAATAACACGAATTCCAGCTGTTTTACATTTACGAATACTATTTTTAACCTCTGGACGAGGTGGGTCAAGCATGCCAACAAGACCAAGGAAAATCATATTCTTTTCAATATTAATAAAGTTTTTAGGATCAGTAAGATCCCAATCATCCAGTTTACAACCTTCTAACATAGCAATAGCAAGGACACGTAAACCATTTTTACCAAATTCTAATAATTTTTCATTTATCTTTTCTCGAATGACAGGATTGAGGTTTGTTGTTGAGTAAGATGATCTAACAGATACACATCGATCAAGTATTGATTCTGGAGCACCTTTAACAAGTAAAGTAGCAGTAGATTTATTATCTTCCGATTGAACAAGTACAGACATAGATTTTCTATCACGTGAAAACTCGAGAGTAGCTAAACGATGATTACGACTTTCATAATAATTACTACATGCAGTAGCACGATCTTTCGGTGATAAAGAATTCAAAGATTGATTAAAAGTTACACTGTCCGTACTAAGCTTTTCTGCAAGAACTTTTAGAGCCGCTTCAGTCGGTTCACCAACACAGAGATACGTTTTAGAATCATCATTATACGCAATGCGAGAATCATTACATAAAACGCATACTTGAGCCAGCTCATTGATACATGTATTTTTTGCAGGAAGGGAATCTACAATTTTACCATCAGTGGTCAATATATTACCAAGTGGAGCATAACTAGAGCCTTCTACATCATACTCTTGGAGATTTGCCATATCTTCAGAAACCACAAGAACTTTAGAGACGCTCATACGGTTCGTTGTAAGAGTACCAGTTTTATCTGAACAAATAACACTCGTGCAACCCAATGTCTCGACAGATGGTAAAGAACGAACAATAGCATTTCTATTTGCCATCTTTTTTGTACCGAGAGCCAAACATGTTGTGATCACTACGGCCAACCCTTCAGGAATAGCGGCAACAGCGAGCGCAACTGCAATTTTGAAATAATAAATAGCACCTTTTAACCAACCATGATGTGAAGGATCGTTGAAATGACGAATGTTTATAAGCCATACGAGAATACAAATTACTGATATGACCTACAAATATTACAAATACAAGTTAATATTAACAAACATAAGGTAATTTAAATTATATTTATATACCTTAGCAAGAAGATCACCAAAATCATCTAATTTACGTTTAAGCGGTGTTTTCTCGGATATTTGAGATGAGATACTTTTATGAATATCTCCTATCGCAGTACCACTACCAGTTTTTACTACTATAGCACGACCTTTCCCTAATACGACGGTAGTTCCCTATAATGTTGAATGCAATTAATTTAAAAATAAAGATAAAAAAAACACACTTTAAAAATAAAGTTACCGAAAATAAAATATTCGTCTGATCTTGCTTTACTGCTCGTGGATCGTCAACGGCTTCTATATCTTTGTTCACACTGACACTTTCACCAGTGAGGATAGCTTGATCTACTCGAAAAGATGAAGAATGTATTTTTAACAACCGAGAATCTGCAGGAATTTTATCACCCACAGCGATTTCGATTATATCACCGGGGACAAGTTCAGAAGCGTGAGTTTTGAAAAGATGACCATCGCGTAAAACTTTTGCTTCATCTGTCGAATACTCTTTCAATGCCTAAATTACACAAATTATATTATTACATATGAATATAATTGTGTGTTCATAGAATAATCTAAAATTGCATTTCTCTATACCTCGATGGCCTTTTCAGCGTTACGTTCCTGGATTACTCCAACAGTAGCATTAGCAATCAGAATTAAAAGAATCACTATAGGTTCTACAAAAGCGGTTCCTTGTTCATCAGATTCTTCAAGCAATGCAAGAATGAAAGATACTGCCGCAGAAATCAAGAGAATTATTACAAGTTGATCTTTAAACTGTTCTAAAATGAGTTCAAATATAGAAGTTGATTCTTCTTCCGGTAATTCTAGATAGATCAAATCGCGAATATGAAACACATAGAATTGATTAATTATCATTATGGAATTCGAGGATCATTAAATCAGGATTTGTAACATATTCAGTAAATAAATGGATCTTGAATAAAAATTGTGCTTATTTTTCTCTTCCTTCACTTTTATTGTGAGCGTTAAAGCATATAAATCCGTTCAAGACAGACAACGGTAGGTGCGATGTTGTATAAAGTAAAATTTAAATAAAAATACATACCATTTTTACCGTGTATTTTTGTTGAATCTTCAACTTGTTCTTGTGTTAAACCTTTATTTATATCAACTTTAAAAAAATCTAAAATTTCTTTTGGGTTTTTTGTAAATGCGTCATCCATTCTTGAAAAAGCAGACAATAAGACAGTATTTTTTTTAAAAAAAAACCAAAAAACTTTACAAATCTATTTGAATTTGATCAAAATCTTTAATAACGTGTCTTTAATCAATTGGAAGTGACACATTTGTAATTCGATACTAATTTAGAAATGATAATTTTAATGACAGGGTGTTGGGACTGTGTTGGGGCGTTTAAAGTTTAAATTTGTAATCAACTTGACTAATTTATGAATCACGTGGTGGAGATTTTCATTGTCTCGCATCCAGTTTTCCTCGCCGCCCAAATCAGTACTTGAGCGCAAATCCACAAAAAGCATTTTTGTTTTTATTTTTTTTTTTTAAAAAAAAAGATAAATCTTACAATGGAAACGTTTTATTTATCGTCATATGATCCAATTTTCCTAATACTAAAAAAAGCATTATATGCGATCATACTATAGCCAATAGTTGGATGGAAGGATGTCTATTGATCTGGTATGAATACATGACAATCACATGGGTGTATTTAAAACGAAAATAAATCACTCAAAGAAAATATGAAAATGAAATGTAAGATTGTCTGAAGGATCCTTTCTCTCCAAGCTACTATAATCTCCTTTTTTCCTCTATAAAATATATTCCTTATTTTTCTGCGAGAGATAAAAATAAATAATTAAATATCAAATGTGAACATGGATCAAAGACATAAACCAATATTTGCCGAAGCATTTTCTAATTTTCGATTATTTAGACAAATACGAACATGATTTTGACGAAACAGCTATTCGTTGTTATCATGTATATTTTTGAAAAAGTTGACTCTTGCCTCGTCCTTACGGAAGTTTATGATGAAGAACATATACCAACTCAGCTTCAGGGGTCTATACTCTGTTCTTAGTGAGAAAGTACTAGGTGACGGATTTTGTGATAACGGAGCCAGGGTTGTTTTAAAATACTGCTTCCATCATTATAATATCTCGTGAAATGGGTAGTTGTTAAAGAAAGTTCTTTTATAGTAATATTGCTTGGTATTACGTTAATACGTCAGAACCTAATCTTATTACTTTTGACAAAATAGTTCCCAATCGGAATTAATTTAAATAGCGGTTTGATTTTTGACGAATTAAGAATGCTTACTTTTAAGCGAGGCATTAATCGAATGACTTTGGCTTGTGGAAATGGTTCAACGAGTTGTGTTGCTTTAGAGAAGCGTTTAGGATTATAAACCAATCCATGGGTAAGGCTACAGTCAATGTAAGAAAGAGAACATATAATTGAAAGTGATAGATTATTTGAATGGACAGATAATTTCGAGAAAAGCAATCATAATAGTGATGGCCGATCATAAATATAATTAATTTAAGCTTAATAATCAATTTATTGAAATTACATTTTAAATAATGAGATTGTATCATTTTTATTTTTTTTTGGCATGATGTCATGATTCGTGTTAAATTACTCGCCTAAGTTTTATGTACAAATGAAAACAAAAAGCAATAAAATACTATGAAAATTGGAGTTGTAAAATAGGATATTTAAATTTGTTTAACCACGTTTGGTGGTAAATAATTTAAAGTTTTATCAGAAGAATTGGAATCACTGTTTTCAAAGGTGATAAGACGACTCGTATAAATTGCATCAGGATGCTTATTAAAACTAGTATCCAACTCGGATATCTTTTCATCAGCAGTAATAAAAGCATTAGATAAAACATTGTCTTCTTGAGTTAAATTCCACCAATTATTGAATGTGTGTGCTAAAAATCTAGCATCCGGACGTTCAGAAGGATTCATGTGGAAACATTGAGTCGCTAATCTGACATAATTTTCAGGAGTTCCTTCAGCGAATGAAGGTCTTAAGCCTTCACAAATTTCAATCGCAAGTTTTGTATCGTGTGGACGATCAACAAATGGCGGGATTCCAGACGAAAGTTCTGCCATAATAATTCCAATACAATATATGTCGGCGCTTTTTGTATACTTTTTTCCTTGTAATACTTCTGGAGCAAAATAAGGCAAAACTCCGTATAATCCATCCAACGCTCCTCCTTTATTAGCAGGACGAGACAAACCTAAATGAGCAAGTTTAGCTACGGTCACAATTTTTCCGTCTTTTTTAACCTGGCCTACAAGTATGTTTCCGGGGTGAAGGTCTCGATGTGTAAACCCAGCTTTATGAATCGTTAAGAGATTTCCGCTAATATTACGAAGCAAATATAATTTACTGGACCAATCAAGGCCTGCAAAATCATTTTGAAGGAAATTACGTAGATCATGATATGGTGCTAATTCAGTCACCATAATATAATCGTGAGTTTCTGGATCTTGAGTAATTCCGAAAAACCGGAGGAATCCATGATCAAATCTCATTTTTTCAACATGAGATGGTGTAGCAGAAACACAACGATAATGAGTTTGAAGCTATAAAAAATTTTGTAAAAATCAGCAATATTTTTTATATTTTTTTTTTTTTTTTAATCAATTAAAGTACCTCGTTAATATATTCTGATGTCATATCTTGTGAATTTTTGATGCTTTTCAATGCAACAGGTCTAGCTTTCGAAGGAGCAGCCCAAGAAAGTCTCTTTTCAAGATCATACCATTCAGCTGAATAAACAATACTAAAACCACCTTCGCCGATTTCGTTAATATTAATAAACCGATTGTACGGAATCCATTCTAAAAATGGATCCGTTCTATTTTTAGCCTTAAGTTGCGTTTCTTTCATGAATTGGTCAATTCCTTTATGACCACTGGTCCAACCTTTTGTCAATCGTTGGGAATCACATCGACACCAAGCCTCATTATCGCGCAAGCGTTTCCAATGTAAGTAAGGGTATTTACATTTTTTTCTTCCAGCAATAAAAGAGGATTGCCGTGAATTTTTATTACCCATATTTTGCGCAATAAAAATTTTTTGATATTTGTGTATTTAATTTTCGTATTATAAAATATTTTGGAAAAATCGGATTTTTTTTTTCTTAAAAAAAAGAAAAAAGAAAAATATTTTTATCCCTAGAAAAAAAAACAAAAATTTTATTTTGGAGGAGAGGCAGAGTGAAATTAATTATACTCGTGAATTTTTTTTTTCATTTATAATAAATTTTGTAGATCCCATATAAAGAATTATTCAATGAAATTTTGTTAAACAGTCCTTGTGATATACAACATTGTTTTTTATTCGGCCCTTTTATATAAAAAATGCATTAAGAAAGTTTTTATTTTGAACAAGGTTACCTCGATGTTTGTTTATAAGTTTTTTTTTAGAAGAGATTGCAAGAGATTAGCTTCAAGCCTTTTCATTTTATTAATTTACCGTGGCTGATAAATATGTTGCACTAAAAATCCTTTACAACCAAATCAAGATATTAACAAGATCGCTAAATGTTGTGTAATGTATATATCTTTCCCGCCGTCTCCCATCCCTAACAGCTTTTTTTATTTAATTAATTATAGAGTCGTACAATCAATCAGTGATAATGCACATGAATGCATTAATTTTGCTCGAGCGTACTACCATTTACTTATTCCCGATTATTCCGATGTGAATTTATGATTACAAGAGTTCCACATGTAAAAAGAGCAACAAGTTTATAGTCGAAATTTTTGGTTAGGAAATTTGATATTATTATAATATCAAGTTAAACTGCACAGTTTAGAACAATATGAAGATAGGTAAATGCGTTTCTATCATATGAATTGCATATTTTTGATATTTTTGGTTGTGGTTATCTTATCAAAGAGTACATTATTCTTCATAGTTACTAACCTATTAAAAAGAAATGTGTGTCTGGAGAACGTCCGAAAATTTCCGAAAAGGAAACCACTGAACTTCGTGACGATCTGACGGGATAGGCTTCTTGCATCCGTGCATCCAATATTGTGATCTGTCTTAAGTTTGGCTTGGAATTGAATTTAGTATGTTAAAATTATTCTGTAATTGTTTTTGATGACAAGTGCCTCTAGATACTCATCTTTAATAATGCATCTAGTCGAAATGGTCGTCTTGAAATAATTCATAGGTTTGTTACGATTCCAATTTGGTTATGAAATTGCTATTACCGGAAACTGTTCTTCGATTGATCCTAATTCCTAAGGGCATGAAGAGCAATGATAGAACAAAACTTGGAGTTTTTATACAATTTAAAATGTTCTGATATAGCATTAATTCACAATGAGTAAGCTTCTTACATTCTAGTATGGAAAATCTTATTCCTTAATAGAGGAAACCTGCACAATGATGTAATTTATGCATCGTCTGATAAGGCTGTACATTTTTTCACAAATATAATTTCTCTTTTTAACGAACGATCAAATTCAAAAATTAAGATTATGAAGTATACGAACGATTTAAACGAGGATGCAATAAAAAAGCTCATAAATGGGCTAGATCAGGGAGAATTCTGTAATGAAATAATGAACTTGAATAGGGACGAGCTAGAACAGCATATGCATACTAAGTTCAATAAAGTCAAAGATGAGGCAAAAAAAATCGTCGAGGATGTAGTCGAGGATATAAAGAATGAAGCTCAGTTACCCGAGGAGCCAAAGATGACAGGCGAGGAGACAGTCGAGGAACATAATACTAAGGTTAAAGGTAAACGACCCTGTTTTTACTGGAAATGAATTTTATCCATATCGTCTCACTACTCCCACACTATTTTAAAGCGTATGAAAAGAATTTAAACGAATGTAAAATATTTTATCTCTTGAATATGAATAATGTTAAACAAATCGTTAATTGGCTTTCCGAACTACAAAATACGATTACCACGTTTTTTAAGAATTTACGATCCTGGATTGCATCCAAGATTAATAATATCTACACAAGGTAAATAGTTACTCTGAATCTTATCTTTTATTTTGTCTTTCCTTTCTCAGAATTAAGTTCAATTATTTTTATTCTTCATTTCATTAGAATTCTCGAATTTTTTACTGAGATTGCAAAGATGTTTAGTCGATTGTATAAAATTATCTTTAAAAAAGATTAGTCGGGTAAAATGAATGGTTAAAATCATTATATCCTATACTTTGTGATTACATTGTTGTCATAATAAAGCATTATTTATTTCCGGCAATAAAACGATAACATGAAAGATTCATTCTTCCATAAATCGAGTTGGACGTCAACATTAAAAAATTACTTAAATCTGATAGCAAATGAGTTTCCTTCCAAAGCCCGAACGCAAGTCACAATGTCGCGATTTTCTCGAGAAAAAAATTATTTTCCAAGTTTTTTACCAATTAATTTTACCGTAATTAATTTTTCAACAAGAATTTATCTAAATTAGCAGTTAGTGCAAAACGCGTATAAATAAATTAGAATTATTTATTTATTTTTTTTCGAGTATTCAAAAGAATGACGAATCAAACTTAAGCAGGGCTAAATATGAGGTCGTTCTCTGGATCTTCTAAGTTTATCATTAATATTGGTATATGATTTAAAGTTTCATTAGGTGGAACGTTTACTGTCGATAAAAGATAATGACAAATTTAAACTATCTTTATTATTGTACCATTTCGTTTAGCAATTAAATTAATTTACAAAAGCCCTTCAGAGTTCAGGATAATTCTTTTACTATTGACTAGAAATCACGTAATTAAGGATAAGGTCTGGAAGGACAACCTACTACACTATCTAAGTGAAAAAAAATTCACCTATTATACTAATTATTCTTTAAACATTCCTTATCTTTAATTTTTTCCAATAATTTCTTAACTTCTTTATATTTATCATTAATTGAATTACTTAGAACCTCGCGCAATTCTTTCTGTTCCTTCTCTGCTGTTTCATTCATTTTACTCGTGCCATAACTGTAAGCATGTGAGAAGACAGGTACAAAATTCACTGCCTGGCTCCAACCAAATTGCGTTGAGGTTCGACTTTCTCGTTGCAAAGCATGTTCCTCTATTTTTGTTTCATATTCCTTTCTTTTTTCATTATATTCATCAATTTTTTGCTCGAGGTTGTTTATATCAGCTTTTAATGTACCAATTTCTGCTAGAGCTTTCTCTAGTTGTTCCTTAGCTTGACTCAGTTCTTCTTGCAACTGTTCTTGAGTCATTATAACTTATGTTTTATTTTTTATTTACTATTTGAAAGCTAGTAAGCCTCAATATAAGAAATATAACGTGAACATTAACCAACCGTTATACACTGGTTACTTGTCACAAAGTGGTTAGAGTCGCCCAGGTTACACGCAAGGGAGTGATAGTTCATATCAATTAGATATTAAAGTAATTTTTTTTTTTTACACAAAATATATAAAATATAATCGAAATTTGCAACTGATAATAATGATTTTGAAGGAAAATACGAATAATCATGTAATAAGGAACTTTGTAACATTCTTTGATGATATTGATAAAGTGAAAAGAATTCGACCATAAGAAAATTACTTCAAATAGATTAAAGTTAAAAAACCTCTAGGGAAATGTGATAATGATAATGGCTTGTCTATATGTTAAAAAACAAAGATTTTTAATTCTATAACACCCTTATAATTGAAGATGCAAAGATTAAAATTATTTTTTATTACCAAAAAAATATATTAATCTGAGGCATCTGTAGTAAAATAAAGTATTATTATCAATAATTATCAAAATATTAATACTCGAATTTACCTTTTTGTTTCAATAATTTAACTTAATTTTTTTCAATTTATTAAAATGTGAAATAGTGAGACTGTTATCACATGATGTGGCGTAGTAGTCCATTATTTAATATAAGTACTGAATATTTTACTTTATACTATCTGTTATAATTTTAATAATTTAAAAAATATGAAATTAGTATATTAATTTATAAATATATTTTTTTACAAATTTTCTTTTATATAAATATTATTACTTTGTAATTAATATTACTTTATATTAATTACTAATAATTCAATTTATTATATTATATACAATTTGTTAAGATTTATATCTTTTAATTAAATATAAACTTAGAAATTATATTTAATACCATTTAATATATACATTTATGAGTTGAATGGTTATTATGTTAAATGTGATTTTAATATAATCAAAATCCTTTTAATAAATATTAAATAGTACTATATATACATTAAAAAAAAAAAATTTAGAAATTAGAATTTATTTTTAAAAAATTATATAGTAAATTTTTTCATTTTTAAAATGAATGTATTTATCTATTTTTATTTTATTATATATATTTTTTTTATTTTTTCTGTTTTTTTTTAACTAAAGTAAAAAAGCATTATGAATCTAATTAATATTATTAAAGTTTTATTTTTTAATTCTGGTTTTATTTATTTTTGTTATATACCTATTTTTAAAATTTTAGTCATTTATTATTATTTATTAGTTAATCAAACCCTTTTTTATCTTTTCATTAATTACTTCATTAAAAATAATTATTTTTCTTTTGTATTATTTTAGGCTCAAATTCTTTTTTGATTTGGAAGGTGGAAAAAAAATTCCTAATTAGGCCATAATTTTTTTTGTTTGATCCTTAATTTCGGCCAAGTTAACAATAATTCCGGACATGTTTCTAGATTGTTATTGGGCTTCATTATTTCTAAACAATTATTTGTGGTCATGTTACATCTGGTTTAGCAACATGTAAAATAATGTTTTTATAATAATTAATATCGCATATCATTAGATTATGATGATGTACGATAAAATAAAGAAAAAATAGATATGATGTACATTATTTATAAATTTTTGTAGTACATCAAACAGTTCATTTTAAAGCCAAAGACGAATCGACTTCTCTTCAATGAAGTTAAAGTTACACGCAAGGTGATCTACGTGAAAAAGGTATAAAATTAAATTCATTTTTTAAACTAAATTCATTTTTTTTAAAAAAAAAAAATTTTTTACCAAAATGACATCTCGTTCTTCGTTTCCTGTTATAATAGATACTGATCCTGGTATATACTTTGGTTTAAATATATATTTATAAAAATCATCTAGTCTTTTTTTAATGTAATTTGATTTTATATATATATATATATAAAGGTATTGATGATGCTCTTGCTTTATATCTGGCGCTGAGTTCATATCAATTAGATATCAAATTAATTACTCTTGTATTCGGTATGCATCAAAAGAATTTTTTTTTTTTTATACAAAATGAATAAAAAATCTAATCGAAATTTATAATGATTTTGAAGGAAATACGAAGATTAATCATGTAACAAGAAACATTATAACATTATTTGATGTTATTGATAAAGAGATTGAATATTTAAAAAGTGCACCACCGCCTAATCAAATTGATCCGCAACAATGGGATAAAGAGAGAAAAATACTATTGAATAGATTTGAATGGTCAAAACCTATCGTTGCAATAGGTTTGTTTGTTTTGTAATTTAATTTATTAACTCATAATAATTTGACTTCTTTTTTGCATCTTAATTTTAAACTATTTTGAAAATTAAAGGAGCGGATAAACCTGTGAAAGCCGTAGAATGTTTTGGGACCTATTTTCATGGATCAGACGGATTTGGACAAATTCATACAACGGTAAAGTCGAAAGAGTAATATATTAATAATTTAACAAAAACATATTTATTTAAAAGTTTTATTTATTTATTTATTTTTAAAAGCATCCACATTATGCGCCAGAAAATTGGGAAAATTTAAAATCAGATAGATACGCGATGTCATCTCGAAATGCGGTAGATGAAATTTTATATCAATTACAAAATAATCCACCATTCACTATTACAATTATCGGATTGGGTCCTTTAACAAATCTTGCTTTAGCTTATGAAAAAGATAAATATACATTTTCTCGTGTAAAGCAAATAATTTGTTTAGGGGGTGCTATCAATTCTTGTGGTAATGTTACACCTTGCGCTGAATTTAATTTTTTTGTGGATCCTGATGCGGCAAATATTTTGGCTGAAGCTACTAAAGGTTTCTCTCCATCGGAAACTATTCAAAATAAAATTGAAAGATTAAATCGTAAAGAAATTTTGCCGTTACATTTCACTGTGTTGCCAATAAATGGTAATATTAAGATTAGATTATTTCTTTAATATATGATTGAATTAATATTTATTAATAAATTTATTTGCTAATTTGATTTTTTTTTTTTTTAGTATCGTCTAATGTTTTCTTATCACGTGCAGTTTTTACAAAATATATTACGTCTTTAAATACACCTCTAAGCATTTTTATTTCTGTTTTTATTGATCACGCGTTTAAGAAAATGCAAGAATTATGTGGAACCAATGGTCTGGAGTTACATGATCCAGCTGCAATAGCATTAGCGATTGATATGTTATCAAAAAATACTCAATCGTTTACATCAGAATTTGTTGACATGAAAGTTGAATATCAAGGAATTTATACGAGAGGTATGGCTATAGTTGATACAAGACCTAAAGGTTTTTCAAGTACAAAATCGGCACAAGAAACTCTTAAAATATGGGATGATGTTAATAATGTTGAAATTATAAATTCTTATAATAGTAAATCATTTATTGATAATTTTTTTAAAATCACTTTTAATGTTGATTATTCTGAAGAGAATATATAGAATGGAAAAAATAAGATTGTATTATTATAAAAATAAATTAATAAATATGCCAAGTTTACTTTTTAATAATTGTGTGATATAAATGCATAGATGAATATATTTATAATTACAGTATCTTCATATTTAACCATTTATAAGACTTAATCATCTTTTTAAATGGAAATCAGAAAAGCTCCCCAATCCCTTCTAATTTTATTAGATATTGAACTATGGTTATTTTCAAAATAATTCACAACTATAATCCCAAATGAAGTGAGTCGATATCATCCAAACGAATGGATTATGGATACAACGTTTCTTGCGATAATAGAAATAACGTTGGGATGAATTATTAACAAATTATTTAAAGAAAGACATTAGGATTTATAAATTTAAGAGAAAGAAACCTCAAATAACGTAATTTACATTTGAAGTTTGAATTAAAAGTTGAAATTCTCAATTAAAACCGAGGATTAAATGTGCTATTGCTTAATCGTATTATACTGTATATAATAAAATTATACTATAACTTTTTTTTTTTTTTGACTCACGATTCTGGTAAAATATTATACTATAAATTATTTCTAACTGGAAAAATAAATAATATTACGAATAATGGGAGAGTTTAAGCAACAACTCTACAAATTCAAGCACACAAACAAACGCGACTTTATAAATCTGAACACTCATTTTATGAATCCCTTGCCTCTCTTTCATACGATTACTATCATTTTTTGAGACTACGTGAAAAAAAAAGAATGGAAGGGAAAGCTTTTGTGATTGTATTAAACAAGCATATATAATGGTGCTTGGTTTAGATGTACAAAATCAGGCCGCACTCCTATTAAAAACAAATATATGAATCTTGACCCATCAAAATATGCAACTATATACAAGTTGATGTACCCCTTTTTTGTATTAATCTTGACCCAGACGCGTGATATTTAATGTGATATTTGTAATATTTTTCCGGAGCGAAGCGAAGGACAATATATGTCTACGATCTATGAAAAAAAAAATGTTCACGTGAATTTCTCTGTTCGCCATGTGATCGTCACCCAATGAAATCGCAAATCTTAGTTTTTTCGCTCCGGACTTACAACGGTTCCCGTTTCCTAGTTGTAATGTGATATACTGATATTTAACAAAATATTTAACAAACAATATTCAAATTGTTTAATTGTTCGAAAAAAAATATAAATTTTTTTTTAAATAATCTTACTTGTTTTCGCGTTTTTCACTATAATAAAAGTAACTATGGAAAATTTAACTGTTAATTAAATACAATGATGATGATACAGTGAATATGCCGTTTGGACGCGTTGCCGAATGGTATATTTCAAATCACTCACTATTAAAAAATATTAGACTAAAATGTCAAAACAGGAAGAAAATTTCGGAACTAGTTAATGAAAATATTATTGCTGTTAGTCGTGTTGAAGGTGTAGTTGATTATATTAAATGGAATACAAAAAAAGGGAGTACAAAATCAACAAATAGAATAGATGATATAATTAAATTAACACCTGAAGGTAATGAATATGATAGGCAAATAGAAGCTGGTGAAAAGAAAGATAAAACATGCTGGTATTGGTAATGTATTTTTAAGGAGGGGGAATAGTTGTCAACATGAATGTGGAGGAATTGGTAGTTGTAAAGAAAATTGTGCAAATTATTCTCTACCAAATAATATAAAAAATTATCATGATATACATCTATGTAAAAGTTCGTGTGATTTCGGAATCAAAACTTTCCTGGCTAAAAAAAGAAAAGCCACTTCGTATTAAAATTATTGGATCTCATTTACTGATAAATGCTCTTGCATTACATAATCCTATTATCACTAGACTAAATATATCACGTCAAACAAAAGACAATATTATTATTATTCGAAGAGCTGATTGTAAGACAGCAAGATATCAAAGCCAAGTTATTAGCTCCGTATAATAATGCTAGCGAAAATGAATTAAGAGAAGCTTTACTAAAAAAATCAAAAAAACACTTTGTAATACTACTAAATTAAGAAGTTTTATAATATATGATGATAGAAGATTAAAAGAGAATGCGGGTCCATGGACTATACTACTTCACTATATGGTTATTGAGTTATTAAAGCCAAAGGGATTTGTATTATACTATCAGCAGCCAGATATTACTTTGAACATTACATTATTACCAATTAACTTTTTCTCATGATTTTTGGACTAATTTTGTATTGGAATTGATGGTAAATATGACTTGAATAATGACAAAGCATTTATATTAACATTTGTTGTTAACACCTTTAGCATTTGGTTTGTAATTAATTTATTATTATTATTTAAAGTATTTAATATTTTTTAATATTTTATAATTATAGTTTTAGGCTTAAGTAATAGAGAAAATTCATTAAGTATCCAATTAGCTGTTTTAGCTGTAAAGAATAATATTCATTGCAATAATAATAACTGTTCTTATGAATGGTTTATAAAAATTTGCCAAATGAAAAAGGTTTTAGAGGTTTCAGAGAGTCCTTAAATATAACAAAAATGCATAAACATTGGAAATGTTTCGCAATGATTGATAAAAGCCATCCAACAAAATCTGCAGTAAAAGATATATTACATGAAACTTTTTTGTATTGGTTTCATGTAATGCAGACATTAGGTAAAAATTTTAATTAATGGGCAATTCCATGCCAAATACAGTAAAATTTAAATTACTTTTAAAATAGCTAATTGTATTGTTTATTATTTAACGTTGCTAACATAATATAGTAAATTGTTTTTTAAGTTATCTGATTGCAATTCATTTAAAATAATTAGAAGATCTCATACAGAAGGCATTGAAGCTTAAAACTTAGAAGTTTATATAAATCATTTATTGATAAACTATCATTGTTGGTTGAAGAAAAAATATTATTTAAAAATTGGATATATGATGAATGAAGATTAAGCTTAATTGATACTGGAAGAATTTCTAGTGATATTACAGCATTTATTTTATGATATAACAAACAACTTTATAGAATGTTTTTATTGAAATACAGTATAATAGTATACAAACAGTTGTAAATTTTGTTGAATGTTTATATGATATGAAGCTGAAACATGAAAATATTGGTAGGAAATTATTTTGAAACAAGTTTAGCTATATTGAACAAGTTTGTACAGTGCGGTACCTCTATAATAGGTACCCTTTATATTTTGTAATCTAATGGTCAAAATTTTATTAAATTTTAAAATTAAATAACCTTTAAAAAGATAAATACATTAAGCAAATAAAAAAATTTTCTCAATTTTTTTTGCTAACATAATACAAAATCACATGACTTAAAATAAATTTGATTGGCTAATGCAATACTTAATATTAATTAGAATTATACATAATTTTTTATATATAATTTATTATTTATTATAATTATTTAAAAGTAATTTGATTAAGTATATCATCAGTATAGAATTTATATTTTTTTTAGCAAGTTTTCCTGTAATCCCTTTTTAAGAAATAGGTATAATATAATTTATAATAATTAAAAACTACTAAAATTTTTTTTAATTTTTTTTCAAAATTTTTTTAATAAAGCATGAGTAAATTTATAAACTAAAATGATTTATTTTAATAAGCACTATCAAATGATTTTTTGTAGCCGAAAGTTTAGGCAATCAAAAATAAATTTGCTGAAATTTATAATGCCAAAATTATTGCCGAAAGTCCGAAATTTGACCGAAATTATTGGTATAATTCTGGCCATTTTTAGGACGTAATTCTGGCCAGAAAATGATCGACATTATAAATTTCCATTTTTGTGAATTTGTGTAACTATTGTGAATCCAATTTCACCAATTTTACTGGGAAACAAAATTTCCTTTTTTTGGAAATTGGTGTAACGTCACGTGACACAATATCATAATTTCGGCCAAATTTTAATTTTGGCTAAAATTAAGACCAAGTTTCGGCCTAATTTCGGCATTTTCGGCATTTGATTTGATTGGCCGAAACCTTTCGGAATTCTTGTGGGGCTACTGAAAGGGGAGAGTTCTTAGTGCCTGGGGTTGGTTTAAAAGTACCTTCTTTGGGTCGTTATAGTTCAGTTTGTGGCTCTGTCACCTCATGGGGTTTACTACTTAGTCATATAAAAAAAAAAAAAAAAAAAAAAGAAACCTTTCAGAATTTTCTTTTTAGTTTCGGCAGGCAACCTTAACACAACCAGTAATTCGATTACTACATTGATTTAGAAATAAACAAAAGAACAATATATTAATAAAAATCCTACCAAATATTATTAAAATAAATGAAATTTATTCTAATCTTCCCATATCCTATGCAATAATTGCAAAGTTCTTTTACATTATTATCTTTTACTTCTCAATTATTTATATCTTATTTTTATGCATATTCTACACATTCTTTTACTAGTATTTATCATTTACTTTCTAATTATAAATATTTGCTAAATATGTTAGTAACTCTTTATTTGTTACTTACAAACCCACACTTTCATAAAAAACAGAATTTATTAAATTTACATTTGCTTAATGAACAAAAATAGCAGTTTGCCATCCCTTGTCTTCTTCAAATAACTATACTTTGAATAGTAATTCATTTACAAATATTAATTCAAATTCAAAGGAAAACAAATAGCTTTGAATATTATTTGTTATAATTATTAATAATAAAGTAAAGAATTTAAAACTCATAAGTTAAAAACTGCAAATATCAAAAAAATAAACATATTTTTTTTATTTTATAAAATAAAATTACATTTTATTTCATATAGCATTAATACTTAAAAGAAATCATTTTTGTAAAAAAAAAAAAATTTTTTATTTTTTCCATGCATTCAGGCCAAGATTAATACAAAAAAAAGGTATATTTTGATAAATCAAAATTCATGTATAAGGTGGATCAAGATTTATATATTCGCCTATTAAAAATGCATTTTAAAATTATTTATTTTTTTGCAGTTTTATATCAAGTGATTGATATACTGTACATATAGAATCAATTAAAAAAAACTGCTATTCTAGCTATTATTCAATACAATGCGATATCTCTATAATTTTATAGTCATAATGTAACATTTTCAAACGATGTCACATTAGCAAAAAATAATATCTTAAAATTCTAACCAATAATTTTAATAGAACATATCAAGAACTTTTAAACTTATCAGTAGTGTTCTTCACGAATCAAGTTGAATCGAGTTTCAAATCAATTTTTTATATGATAAAATTTGTCTTACACTAAATTTTATAATACTTTAATTATATTATTTATGTAATGCAAGTCTATGCAATCATTTGAGTCACATATGCAGGACACTACTTATCGGTTTAGATTAAAAAATAACAAATTTTACTAGTATTATATAAATTTGAAGTTCAGGTAATTTATTCTGATGAGAAAAATTTTAAGAATAAGTGATTGTTGTATAACATAAAAAAAATAATCATTTAATAGTACTTATTCAAATAAATCATTTAGCTTATAAACTTATCCATGTTTTGTTAAAAAAATTTTGAAAAAATTTTGGTAGTTTTTATTTATTACAAATTATATTATGCCTATTTTTCAAAAAGAAATTACAGGAAAACTTGTTAAAAAAAATATAAATTCCATAGAAAAGTTCCTGATAGTATACTTAATCAAATTACTTTTAAATAATTATAATGAATAATAAATCATATATAAAAATTATGCATAATTCTAATTAACATTAAACATTGCATTGGCCAATCAAATTTATTTTAAGTCATATGATTCTGCATATGGGCCGATTTGGCTCACTTCGGTTATGTCACCTATAAAATGATCAACCGCTGATCATTTACTAATTTACTAAATATCACATTTATTTACATTATTTCTTTTTGAATAACTACGCGAAACTTCTAAAATGACACAGTGTAATTTTCCTTGCTTTTTATGTTCTAAAATTTTTAATACAAGGAAAAAATTGCAAAATCATGAACGAAATGTACATAAAAATAATAAACTTATTACAAACCGTCATATACTTCATCAACCTTCTAATGAAACAATGTCATTTTATCAAGACGCAATAATAATTCGTTTAAAAAATAGTCTTGGATTTAACAGACATTCAGTTAGAAAAAAACATATAACAATTGACGCGTTTCCAGAGGATGTATTTGTGTCTTTATTTGAAAATGAAGATAATTTCAAATATATACCAAACCAGAGAAAATATCAATGTATTTTAAAAGGAACAGTAGGTGAGGAACAATTGAAGAAAATATTTAAATATGACCAAATAATATTTCGTGAAAATATTAATACTTCAACTCGAGGGTATATATTATTTGAGAATAATGATGGTCAATATAAAGCAATATTTAATTGGAAACAAAAAGAATTAAAAGAAAATACAAGAAATTTTTTGTCTGGAATTTTGACAATTAACTTTATTGCTGACTCTGGTGAATTCATAAATAAGTAAGATTTATGAAAATTCTGTGTTATTAAAAGATATTTTTGTGTTAACTTTATTTTATTAATTTTAGTCAAGAAAATTATGTAGCGCCACTTCAACCACTTCAACCGCCATCATCTAATGATGATCATATTTTACATATAATATATTCCAATCCACCTTATAACGCATCTAACAATAAACTTTCATCAAATAATAAATCAACAACCTTTACCAAACCACAATATAGATATATTTTACCACATACCCATTTATCAAATACAAATAATTCTTAACAATTTCAATGTAATAAAATTATTGTTTTTAGTAATCAAATTTATTATTATTAATAACTTAACCTCATACATCACTTTCGCATCAATTATTAATAAAAACGTAATGGATTTTTAATAATAATAAAATATAATTATTAATTAGCTTTCCTTATTATTGACATCAATGTTTCTAGCGATAATCTTTTTAGGAGTATTGTTAATTAGGTAAAATAATTGGTGATTTTCAAAAGACATTATATTGTATACTACTGATTTTCCATCAGTTCCCCCACCCATAGTAGTACCTCCAAAAAATAAACAGACCTAGATTAAGAATATATATTAGTAATAAACATAAATTTTTTCAAATAAAAAAAATAATTATAATTTTTTAATACATGATTGTGATTTTTTTTTTCTATACTTGAAGTAGAAAAAGTTCGTAAAGAAAGGCCAATTTCTTTTAATTGACGCATAAATTGGGGTACATGTTTTGCAAAAACATGCATATATAGAGTAACATCATCTTTTCGATATAAACCAGGAATTTGTGTACCACTATTCATGTGACCTTGAGTTGGACGATAAAACATGCGGATCCAATTTTGAGTATCGATTTTAAATTGATCAATTTCTTGATCTGAAAGATATTCTTTGTGTAAAATTGTATATAATTGATAAAACTCTCGCCATAATTTTTCTATATCTTTTCCATGAATATCTGGAATAAATTGTGATACTGGAAACTCTTTTAACGTTTTTTTTTTATCTGGTCCCATTAGAGAAGTCCAATTCCAATTTTTTCCAGATTGAAAAAATTTAAAATGAACTTTAATATTTTTAAATGCTAATTCAACTGCTGGCTTAATTTGCTTTTGAAATTCCTTTTTTTTAATTAGATCAGCAAATAAGCACTCCATTAAGACATCTGAAATTCTTAAAAAAAGATGTAATTCATCTGGTATATAATTTTTCTGATTAATTGCAGGAAATAAAGGAGATTTCCTTTCACCTAAATATTAAGTGTAGTAAATTAAGTTTAAAGTATTGTAATTTAATTAATAAAAATAAATTAATATATCAAGTAAACTTACATCTTGTATTTTCTGTATTATTCCATATTTTATTCATATCCCATCGCAATGATGCTTTACAATTGCAATACAAACAAAAATACTTTGAGTTTAGCGCATTTGTACCCATAATTATGTACATAAATTTCCAATCTCCACAGAAAAAGAGCTCAACTCACTAGTCAAAAACCAATATATCGGGTAGCAGATATGTATCAGATATGTACCCGATTTTCTGCATTAATACTACACATATCGGGTACATATCTGATACATATCTGCTACCTGATATATTGGTTTTTGACCAGTGACTGGCCAATTAACACCATCCTGATCGATAATTCCACTATTTTTCAAATCAAATAATTGATCTTGAAATAATTGGCCAACTTTTGCTAAATCTTTATAATTTTCATGACCAATATAAAGGCAAATACTGTAATTATATAAGAAACTAAATTAGTTAAAAAATTTATAGTAAAATCAATAGTAAGAATAGTTAAATTTTACCAATATTGATGATCAGGTTTTAAAACCTCTTTTTTTTAGTTTAATAAACAGAATGTGATCATTACATGATTCTGACGTCTTCACACATTTCTGCCATCACCACCTATTTTGATATAAAGAGTATCTCCTGGAAATATTACAGGATTTTGTCCTGCTTTCCAAATGGGTATTAATATTTTAAGTATATCTAAAATAGAACGAAATGCACCATTTACTATTTCATGATCATCTACTAAAATATCATTAACATTATTATTAATATTATTATCAATATTAGATTGATTATTAATTTCGTTATCTATATTAAAAATTCCTATATGAATTTGCATATTCATAAGTTCGTTCATTTCATTTAGACGATTAGCAAACAAATATTCACGAAAAAGAGTTGGAACAACTGCAGCTAAATTTCTATATCCATCACGACCTAAGACTGCTTCATCACAAAAACGTACAATAGCATCAACTCTTGTTTGAATTGCAGAAGAATTATTTGGATTTTTGAATTTAATATAAGCCTGCTGGTCTTCTTTATAATCAAGTTCAATATAACATAAATGGACAATTGGTTCTCCAGATAAGTTTGTCAATTTATGTTTGATAATTAGTTCATCAATTGCTTTCTGCACATCTCTTCCGAAGCTATTAAGTCTTTTGTTTTGTTGTGATCGTGAAGAAATCTATTCAAGTGGCCTTTTACGCCTATTATTGTCCTTTATTACAGGTTGTAAACCAATTTGTAAAAGAAAATTATATAATGGTTCAATATCAAAAACAAATAAACAAGGACCAGAAAGTTTAGTTGATCGATTCTGATTGATTTTCTAATAAAATAATATAAAATTAATTTGTGTATAAAATAAAAATCATTATATTTCTTTTAATGTAAATATGAATTACATACCTGTAAAAACAAATTAGTAACTGCCGTAGAGGATTTTGTGCTACTAATATTCCAATCTACACGTCCTTCCTTCCAATTTATAGTATAGCATACTTTTGAATCTGTGATATATTTGGTTTCACACTTAAAACTCCATTCGAACAACTCTGTTTCAACAATGTAATCATTTGGTATCAGATATTGAAAAGTACTATTTTGGGATTTTCAAGTCAGTCTTGGTATGGAAGGATAATTCCCCACTGCAATAATATTGTAATATGAAATGTATAATCGACCATTTGATATATAACGAGCTTCAATTCTTGAATTATTTGGGTAGTCATGTATAAAAACGCGACTAGAAAAAGAGTCTAATAATTAAAAAAAAAAATTTTTAGTATTATTATTTTTGCTAAAAAATATATACTAGAAAGCATATTACTTTCGTTTTCTGGTGCTATTTCTACCATTTTGTTTGTAATTTAAAACTAAACAGTTTCGATATTGAACATTTCTAAATATAATACTCACAAAGCCCAAACCCTTAAAACCAATTCCAAGACAATTCCAAACAGGTTTCAAAGTTGCAAAATCCAGTTTCGAAAGCATGCGTAGCTGGTGCGTAACCTTAAACAATTGGCTTAAATATGAAATCAGCATTAACGTCATTATGCATTATTCAAATTTGTCACAAATTTGATGTTTATTTTGATCTCATGTCGATCAAAAATTCATATTGTCACCAAAATTTATTTAGTGGTATGAGCCAAATCAGCCCATATGGCAAAAAAAAATCAAGAAAATTTTTTTATTTGCTTAATGTATTTATCTTTTTAAAAGCTATTTAATTTTAAAATTTTATAAAATTCTAACAATTAGATTACAAGATATAAGAGGTATCTATTATAAAGGTATCGTACTATAGAAAGAAAAGGTTAGAGAATTATACATTTTTTTTTGTTTGATTTTAATAATCTTTAATGAACTCAATGCTAATATTCTAAGGCAAAGCAATTTATATTTTTTTCTAAGTCTTTTTCTTTCTTTTTTTGAGAATTATTTTACTATTCTATTATTTGCATTATATAGATAATTTGAATAATCTATATTTATATTATCTATGTGATACAGATAATATAAATAAATATAGATAATAAAGATAATATTTAAATATTTAACAAATTTATAAATTTAATAAAATTTCAAAAAATAAATACTAAATTTTATTAATTTCTTTATAAATTTCTGATAGAAAAATATTACTTATAATACCTTTCACTGAAAATTGAAGCAGAAATTGATAAATAATTTTTAGTTAAATTGGAAACCTCTCTTGATTTCCTGCTTATTATTTAAAATGGTCAGTTTTAAATTATAATTGCAGTAATAAAAGATATTAATTTCATTCAGCATTTTAATTTTCTGAAATATATATATATTCAAGCAATTAATTTTATTATTATAAAAAATAGTTTCAGATTGACTTTTGACTAAACTAAAATTTTGAAAAAATAGTTTTGGTAAGTATTCTTAGTAATAACATACTTTGAAATATCACAGTAAGATATCATCAATATATTTCTTCGCAGTAACTGCACATTTGTTTTCTATTAGTTAGAAGTGAAAAGAGTCTTCATGATTATCATATGACATACAGTATGCATCATAAGTCAAAACTCTTGAACTTTTGTTCACATGTATTTTTTTGCATATTTTTCCAATAATGCAATAAGAGTCAATTATAAATAAAAAAAAAAGAAAAAATGTTAATCGCTTATTTAATAAACCATATAAAAGTTTATTATATAACAGTAAAGGATAAAATTGCATTAAGGTACTATTTATTATTAAAATGTTGTAAGGATTTGAAAGGCAATATCCAAGTGATTTTATCAATTACTGAAGGGACTTTATACTTGATAGAGCATGATTTAGATTTTAGATGGTAGATTTTAAAATCACCTATTGAGAAGAAACAATACCTTTTTAACAGTTGAGAAGGAACTTTTTCAACAATCTTTTGATATCTTTTTCATGCCAATTATTTGTTCTCATTGAGGTCTTTCTTGAATTCAGAGAACTGGAAGCATATTGTAGCCACAGTTATGGTTCTTCTCTGTTTTTAGGAATTTCCAGATGATAACAAGATTTTGAGTGCAAGGCTTTTACTGCATGACTAACAGAAATTAGTAAATGTAACTTGATGCAAAACTTTGGGAAAGCTAATAGTAGTTGTATATCACTGAGATGCTGTGATCTTTTATGTCTTTCTGAAGGATATCTTCATATATTTAAGATTAGGCAAAATGTTCTGTTACCATGCCAATTTAATCATTCATATTTTTTTTGGTTCAATAGTAACAGTACTCATATTTTTTGTATTTCAGATTATTATTTAGAAGAAGATTGCAAAGTTGATGACAATATGTAATTAAAAATTTTGGACATTGCGATTGCATCAATGAAATTCAGTCCAAAGTCAATAAACAAATTCCCTGAATGAATAATAACATTAAATAAATATATACAACATGAATAATTAATTGTATATTCTTTTTTAAAAATTGTATTTTTAATCCAAAAATAATTTATTTCATTTTCTATTTATAATAATTGTTTATTCTGTTTATTAAAATAAATTAATGATTGAAATTATTATGATAATTAAAAATATTTATATTACATAAATTCTACTAGAGTAATTTGAGCACCCTGTGATGCAAGAAATTTCATTGAACTATAAATAATTTGTTATAAAAAATATTGTATGTTAATAGAAGGAATGCCTGGAACTCATCCAAGACATACTTTGGCTTTGATGTGTAAAAATAAATATTCCTTATTATCTATTGTTTAATTATACTTCTTGCAAACAAACTTTCTTATGCATTTAATGTACTTTTATAGGCTCCTCTTTAGTAATTTAACGATAATTCTGGCCCTCAAATCTAATACAATTATCATTATGTTTGCCGCAGCTAAATCGTTCTTGCTGCAACTAAATGTTTTGATTGCCAATTTTGCTTGGTCATCAATACTGAATTGGTTTGATGCGTTCGGTTGAACTATTAAATAAATTAATTATTAAATTGTTCATTATAACAACGAGAAAAAAAATTAAAATTAAAATACAAAAAAGCTTTAAATAAATAAGAAGTTTCAAAACTTTTGCTTTGAAATTTACCTATCAAAAATCCAAAGAAGTTAATCGAAACTGACAACTAAAAATTCCTAAATAAAAAAAATCCTCAAAAGAAGTTTTGAAACTTACATGCCCAAAGTCAAAGGAATCAAAACCAATATCTATAGATAGAGAAAAAAGAAAATGATTTTGAATTAACACTTTGAAAATTACTGATTTGACCTGTGTTACAATAGTTAAAAAGAAAGAGTTTATGGAAGTTTTACATGAACGACAATAATATCTAATAATCAAAACCAAAATTAGATACAAAATTCTCAAACAAAACTTATGGAAAAGACGTGGATATCAATACAGATAGTTATTCATTTGTAGTATTAATGAATTTGGTATTGGTTAAGAGTTTTAAAAATTAAAACGTTTATTTTATATATACTTTTTGTAAACATTATTAAAATAACAAAAATAATTATATGAAATAATATGCCACTTTTCTCTCCTACTATTACTATTCTTCCTTATTAATTACTTCACATTTTATTATTCTCTCTTTTTCAATTTCTTTCTTAATTATTTCTTCTTCTGTCTTTTCTATTTCTATATTGTTTTTACTTTCATTTTCATTTTTAATTTTCTCTTCATTATCCTTATTTTCATCTTTGACATCCTCTTTGATATCTTCTTTCTTCTTATTCTCATCTTTACCTTCTTCTTTCTCATCTTTGTTGTCGCCTTTGAATTCTTCCCTAACTTCTTCTTTCTTCTCCTTATTTTCGTCTTCGATATTCTCTTTCTTCTCCTTATTTTCATCTTTAACATTCTCTTTCCTATCCTTGTTTTCGACTTTGACTTCGCCTTTAACTTCTTCTTTCTTCTCCTGATTTTCGACTTTGACTTCCTCCTTCTTCTCCTTATCATCTTTAACTTCGTCTTTTTCATTCTTGTTTTCATCTTTGACCTCGTCTTTAGCTTCTTCTTTCTTCTCCTGATTTTCATCTTTTACTTCCTCCTTCTTCTCCTCATTTTCATCTTTAGCTTCGTCTTTTTCATCCTTATTTTCATCTTTGACTTCCCCATTAACTTCTTCTTTATTCTCTTCCGATTCTTCACTAATACGTTGAGCTTCTCGTAAAGCTTCTTCCTCCATTTGTCTTGCAATTTCTTCGGGTGACATATCTTTATATTTTAAAATTAATTCATAAATTTTTTCTGGAATAAGGTGAATATCATTACGATACAAAACCATAGTCATCATAACTTCACAAGGAGGTAATAATCTTTCGGGAATTTTTTCAAGAATGTCTTTAGGAAATTCGGCTTTAGGATTTTCACTAATAGTTTTATACATTTTTCTAATTTGATAATGAGTACAATAACCAAGGTCAAGATGTACATCCATACGACCAGGACGAATACAAGCAGGATCAAGATGTTCAACGTGATTTGTTGTCATTATAATAATATTTCCTTCAGCTAAAATATTACCATCCAAACATCCCAAGAAAGTTGATAAACTAAATTTTGAAAATAAAGATGGACCCATTGGACCATTTAAACCAGATGGACCAGTGTTATCTTTTTTATCGATAGACAGAGATTCTATAGTACTAAAAAATGAAGAGGATTTTTTTGTTCGTTTATGTAGAACTTTTGATTGCGTATCAACATCTTCAAGTACAATAATTTGATTAGCAGGAACCGAACTAAATGCAGCGCTTAATTCATTATCATCCGAAATGGTTTTAAGATTTAAATAATAAGTATCACGAGATAAATGTGAAGAAATAGCATTTATCAAACTAGTTTTCCCTGTTCCAGGTTTTCCATATAATAAAATACCACGTCGATAAGGTATACCAATTCTATCATAAAAATCTTTATCATTTACAAAAGTATCTAATTCTCTTTTTAATAAGATTTCTTGTAATTCATCTAATGCGACACTATCCAAATTTCTAACACAAGATAATGTTTGAACATGATACCAATAAGAACTATTTCTTTCATATCTTGAACGAACTTTCATTTTTCTTTGAGTTTCTAAATAAGATCGTGTAATTTCATTTAAATAATCAGTTATAATATCAATACTTGTACTCGATTCTTTAGTGGTTGTAATAAAAATTGAAGGTTTTGGTTTATTTTTACTTGAACTTCCGTAATTATAATAATCATTATTATTGTTGTTGTTGTTATTGTTATTATTATTTTTATTATCATCTTTCTTTTCTTCAGGAGGCATACTGAATGCTACATCAAATTTTAATCCTTTATATTCAATAGTAATTTGTTGATTTTTCTCGGGAAGAATATTAAAATTTGGAGGAGCACATTCATCATCATCATTATTATTAACTGAATTTGTATGTCGTACAATGAATGCACCTTTATCTAATTGTTTTGTTTGATTAGAAATCAACCAAGATAAAGCTTCATAAAATATACTAGCAGATAAATCACCATAAATTCCCTCATAATAATATTCAAGTTGAACTGTTACAGTATTTTCATTTCTAATTGGATCATTTAATGTCCTTGAACTAATAAATTTATACATCGCAAGAGCAAAAGTGGAAATTCCTGATGCTATAACACTTGTTAAAAACATATCAACTGTCATTATTCCGGACATGTATGGACCAAATTTCGCTGGAAGCCATGCTAAAAGAACTGTATTCACTTGAGATTGAGTGAATAAATCAATAAAAGGTTGAAAGACTTCAGAGTATTCAGACATGATGATTAATTGAGATCTTAATTAATGGAATGAATTTTTTTTTTTTTTGAATAATAAGCTGAGTACTTCTTTCACCCCTTGTTTAAATAACGTTTTGTTTTATCCGCAGAATAATAATTAGTAACAATATGTTAAAGCGAAGAAGTGATTTATTATAACAAATATGGAAAAGAACGATCCCAATACGGAAATGAAGTTCAAAATTTAAACAATGAATATTATAAAGGTATGAGACACAATTATACAATAATTATAATAAATTGGTCAATAATCGGATTCAGGATTTCTAAGCGCCGATTATCTGATTCTTTTAAGAATTCTTCTGATTATCATTAACTAATAATAATAAGTGATCAAGGAAATTTGGTTATGTTTAAACCATTTTCTTGGTATGTAAGTTTATAATCAGCTAATAAGTTTTCGTATGATACGTGTGATTCATGACACTTGAGGTTTCGCACCCGTTATACAAGATCTATTTATATGTCGTGCCAAGGATCGGTATTTATTAAACAAAGAATGAGATGTCATTAAATTTAAAGATTCTTGAATATCTTTCTTTTTAACGTCGCTTATTTATATCTGACCTTGTGTACAAACTTTAATTTATTGGAACATCTTTTCATTGAAATAATAAAAAAAAAAGTATTAAAGGGTCAGGATTTAAAATATTAATATGGTAATTCATTATTATTCCCTTTTTTGAAAAAAAAAAAAGAAATAAATTAAATAGAGATTAGAGAAACAATAAAATCGTAAATGAATGAATAATCCATTATGAACGTTACATTCGTTACATTTAAGGTAACCGATAAGTACGACAGTATGTCATTATTTGATGCTATTGATAGAAATTTAAAATTTAAATGTCATTGAAACAGCAGATTTATTTATTTATTTATTTATTTTCGGTTCAGACTATCATTTACTTTAATTATTTTTTTCATTACTTTTTTTATTTTAAAAAATTTTAGAAATGTTAAAAGTTCCAAAATTTCTTGAGATTGATCATACAATGACTTAGCATGGATTTAAACAAATTCATACGAATCATATACTGTAACGGTAAATTAATTTCGAAACGAGCATATTATTAATAATTTAAAGAAAGATATTATAAATTTTTATTTTTTATAACATATTCGACTTGCGCAGACATTTTTTTTAACAATTGGTCGTACCACTCAATCCATAAATGGTTAAATTTATTAATACTCAATTTAGTACAGTCTATACTCCGAGGTTTTCTTGCCATATATATTAAATCTTTAAATAAATAACGCAATATTTCTATTCTTGTGTTCATAGATTATGAGATTATTATGAGGTTATTATGGTAGTACAAGATTTGCAATATCGACTTGTATTATTGTGATGTACAACTTGTTTATAATAATACCAACACAAGGAATAATTCTTTGTCAAGGTGGTCCAATAAACGAGTCTCATTTCCCAACTGCGTATAATGTACATGCCTACATGCCGCAGATTTTATGACTAATAATGCTCAGCCTCAATGATCTGAAACTGTTTCTTTTTTTATTATCTGATTGTAAAATTGTTCAACATTTAAGACCTAGTTACAAATTTACTGCGTCTGTGACCAATTTAAAATCAAAATCTAAAAGAGAAGTATAATAATAAAACTAAATTTGCCATTTGTTCACTTGATTTGCTATAGATACAATAGGGCAGCTAGAGTACCTTTTTCGTAGTGTTATCTATTAAGTTTAAAATGAAAAATTTATCGGAAAAAAAATCATCAGAATATTTAAATAAAACTGATATAATTTGTACCTTATAGCGAAGTAACTGATTTGAATCTAAACCGTGAGCGACCGACCACCATCACCGTACTAAAGAGATGATTTTTCATTGAAAGAACAATAAAAATCCGCTTCAAAAGAAAGGACATTCGAATATTGAAAAAAAAAAATTAATTCTCCATATAAACAGTTCTACGTAGGTATCGACATGATTATCTGAAATCTATTCATGAGGATTTCATTTAAAGAATGAAGTTTTTAAAGTAAACGTTATCGTTGAAAAATATTTTCATAGGTTAAACAAAAACAATATTGAATTTTTTTTTTAATAAAAAATAATTTTTAGCTATAAAGGTTAGATATAACCCGTATACATTTTTTATAGCTCTCTCACATGTATTCTAGCTCCAATTTGACATACTCTATTAGAAACGAAACGTTTAACCTTATTCTTTACGGATTATTTTGTCCTTGCAGGGATATAGAAGGCATATAATATGAAAATGAAAACTTATCTCCTATAAATAATTGACCTAAACATTTAACATTTCGTCATACATTAGAACTGCTGTATAGCATGTATTATGTATAACACGAAAAAAAAAATACGCGTTACTCTTTCATAGAAAAAGTAAACTGATAGATAGTTTTTCTATAAATATATCTTAGCTTCCTTAACTTTTGTTGACGAAAAAGGAAGCATTATTTAAAACTTCAAAGAGAAATTAAAGAAAGTACTGTGTTTCTACTAATACCAAAGAAATGAAAGAAACCATTTTCCAACAACATCAAAAAGAGTTATTCATTTATTATCACCAAATATCAATATGTAATCTTCTATAAAGCTCTAACATTTTAACCTTAGCTTTTTAAAATCACAAATGTTACTATTATCAAAGAAATTGCTCACTAATGTCTCAATTTACAATTTTTTTTATTTGGAAATATTAGCAGTGCTCCTACCAAGGTTATGTTATTAGTTTTATCATTTAATGACTAGATTCAAACTAACACATCAAATTAGGGGTTTGACATGGGTTGACCTAAGAAAAGGAACATTTATCAGTACATATAGTTGCTGAACCATCTGTGCAGTAACCAATTAATCATATACATATTAATACTTAATCTAGAGCATAATCATCAGAAAAAAAAAACCAAAAATTCAATTAGGGTTCGTGCCAGATTTTAGGTAATATTTCAGGGCTAAGTAAAATCTTACGTGACATAAAATAAAATTAATATTATTGATTAACCTGGGATTATTAGATGATATATGTCATTGTCCTTAGCTATATCAAGTCATGATGTTTAATATCAGCCAAATACGGTATTACTAATGCCCAGCAAAATATAATTATAATGAATCTTTTTAGTTATTTAATCGTTTTTAATTCACGTGATTCTAGAACTTAAAGAACATTCGATAATTCTTCTAGATTATTTTCCTATTATACAATATTATTTTTTATTTTCCTGTACCTGCCGTACCTGCTGCCGCACCTGTCGCAACGCCTGCTGCACCTGCCGCTAAAAACAGGCGCTACCTGCCACGACACCTGCTATGCATGTAGATTAAAAAAAACCATCTAATCCATATAAGTCATCAAGTCGTACGATCAGTTGATTGAATGAAATCAAGTTTTTGAATCTCGATATCATTATTCATTTTGCTATATTCATTTTTTAAAAATTAATTTATAAGGTTATTACTTTACATTACATACAGCATCAAATGGACAAGTTCATTAATCGAAAAAAAAGACGCGTTTATAGCATGCTGCGAAAAAAGCATTACAATAAACGAATATTTTATATATTTATACATACAATAAACAAACGTTCATCGTAATTTTTTAGGTGGGTGTGAGTCAGCACGTTACACAATAAATTTAATTGTTTACCTATCTTACATGGGTCTTATACAGTATTACGTAAGTAATATATAATCACTCATCTATCTATTTTTTTTTTCTTTCTGAAACTTTAAATCCGAATTTTAATGAACCAAACCAAAAAAAAAAGAAATATTTGTCCATGCGATTTTATAATAATAACACAAAAGTTCTAAATTAAGGATCATTATGCGATTACTACATTTCCACAATGCTAATTAGGATAGATTTGCATCGAATGGGGTAATTTCATAACGCCAAGGTTTTTTTTTTTTACATTAGGTTCAACCATTCGTTGCAATTTTTTTTTACTTATTTTGCTTCCAAAAAAAAAATTATCTTCGTTGCATAAAAAATTAAAAAATTTGATTTTCTACTTCATTTTAATATTTTATCTGTAACAACTCTGCTGTAGTAATAAGTCCTTTTTTTTCTTATTTATGAAAAAATTTATGAAATGGATACTTCAAGACAAACTGAAGTTAAAAATTTATGGATAGATTATGATCATAGTGATTATCAGGTAAACTTATTATAAAAATATAAAATTTTATAATATTAAAAATTTTTTTTTTTTAATCATTTATTTTAATAGATGCACGCTACAATTTTTTCCACTGATTCAACTGAATCAGATGAAAATACTTCCATTCTTAAAAAAATAAATATTATTGATCTAGAAAAAAGAAAAGAAGTTTACGGAATATGTGGAGAATGTAATGAACCAGGTACAGGAGCATATTGGTGTCAACCTTGTAATGCTAAAAGATTTAAGGAAAATTTTAAAAATTGGACTAGTGGAAATAAAAATATTGATGAATTAATACAACAATCACAACATAATGCCTTATTTTCTATGAAATGTCTTGAATGGTTACCCTTTGAAAAATTTGAAAATGTTACCTATCTTACTAGAGGTGGTTTCAGTAAAATTTATTCAGCTGCTTGGCCCGAAGGAAATGTTGTAAGTTGGGATATTGAAAAGCAAAAATGGGAACGATGTCCGGATAGAAAAGTTGCATTAAAAAGTTTAGACAATTCATCTAATATAAATAATGATTTTTTAAATGAGGTAATTAAATAAATATTGCTTTTAAATTAAATTTTTATATATTTATAAATATAATTTTCTCTTTTAAATATTATTAGATTAAATATTATATTTCAGGTCATTTTCATTTTGTTAATACAGTTATATGTTATGGAATAACTCAAGATCCAGATACTCAAAATTATATGATGGTTTTACATTATTGTGAAAATGGAAATTTGAGAAATGATTTAATGTGCGGTATAATTCATAAAATCAGTCAGCTATTTTTAATCATTGAAGGACTTTCAGCTATTCATAATGCTGGAAAAGTTCATAAAGATTTTCACTCAGGTAATATATTAATTACGGAGGTAGGTGATGATGATTTTAGGGTACCACTTATTGGTGATTTAGGAATGTGTCAACCAGTAAATAATGAAGGGCAATCAGTTAAAGAAGGAGGAGCTTATGGAGTATTACCTTATATGGCACCAGAAGTTTTATGTGGATATAAATATACAAAAGCAGCAGATATTTATTCATTTGGAATAATTATGAATGAATATATGTCAGAAGAAATTCCTTATAATGATATTCCTCATGATCATAATCTGGCTGTTAAAATATGTAAAGGATTTAGACCGAAAATTTCTGAAGTTACACCAAAATTAATTGCAGATTTGATTATTAAATGTTGGGATGCTAAAGCAGAAAATAGACCAACTTCTAAAGAATTACATCAAATATTAAGAAAATATATAGATGAAATTAATGATAAAGATAGCAAAATTTATTCTCAAATAAAAGAATGTGAAAAAATTAGAGAAAGTGAATTAAAAAACAAAACAAATGAAAATGAATCTAAAAATCTTCAAATACATCCACAAGCAATTTATACTAGTAGACTTTTAAATTTCAAAAATCTTCCAAAGCCAGTAAATCCAACTGATTATTTATCTTCATTTCAAGGTAAATTTATTAGTACATTTTTTTAAGAAAAAGAAAAATTGACTTAATATTGACCTGTTTCTTTTAATAGAAACCGTTTCAACAACATTAATAAATCCAAGTAAGTATATAAATAATATGTTTAATTCTTAATTATAAATTATTAGTAATATTTATATTGTTATTTATAGTTTCCGAAAGTGTATCCGAAAGATTGAATTATGAATTAAATGAATTAGGTGAGATAGGATATTTTTTATAGTTATAACAGATAATGTATAATTTTAAATTTTTTTTTTTTTTTTTAATAGATCTCAATCAAGATGATGATGATTTGATTTTTTAATTTTAAATATTTTGACCGTTGTTTTTTTAGTCAAATTATAAATTTAAGATTTTATAAATAAATGATTTCTTTTATATATAATATATATATAATATTTTTTTCAGTTTTTACTTTTATTATTTTTATAGATCTTTATAGTAACTTTTTTTTTTTAATAAATTTGTTTTTACCTATAAAGTAGTAGCTATCATTATATAACGTAATATAACGCTTAATCTCGTAGTATAATTAATAGTTATTCGGCACGGAGTGCCGAATAAGTGATGAATATTGCCTGATACACGATTTATTATAACTATAAAAAATCACGTGATACCGGGTAATACTAAAGGAAAATTGGTTCAATAGAAAAAAGAATCGAGTAAATTATGCTGCGTGAAAATGTATTAAATGTATTACAATGAACGTTTATATATTTGTTCGTAAAAATAATAAGCATTCATCATAGTGTACATTTTATAGAATATTCATTAACATTATACGTATTTTATAATTTAAAAAGTAAAGTACTGTATGGTAATACAGATTCGGACAGACGTTAATCCTTTTTGTTCGTACGTTTCTAACAGATAAATTTTTATACTAGTACGTACGAATGCTTTAAAAATTTTTGTATGACTTCGAATTTTCGTACAATTTTGAATTTTCGTACATGTTTTGTTTTTTAATAAAATACTTTATGTTAAAAAATATAAATACATCAATTATACTCTTTGAAGATAAGCTAGGATAAGCTTATAAATTTCTATTTCTCTAATAATATTCAGCTCTACAATTGGGAAGTCTTCAACATCGGATATATTATCAATATTCATATTTACAATTATTTTCTTATTCAAAGCAATAAAGATTAAAAAGAGATATTTATGACAAATATACTGTATAATAAACAAAACGTTAAAATCATTATCAGATTAATTAAATATTAATATGTAATTGTAACATTTTCATTCTCGAAAGTTCTATCACATGATGCTACGATGTAAAGTACGGAAAATCAAAATTTATTTTTAATAGTCTGTCTGAGTACGGAAAAATTAAAAATTTTTTTTTTCGAACGTTTGTCCAAAATTTGTAGTACCGTACAGTACTACTATTTTACTATATATTCGAAAATTTACCTTTAGGAATTTTATCTAAATGGCGTACGTTTATAATGTTGAGCACGTCTTAGTAAAATTTATCATTCTGTAACAATAATACTAATAAAATTTTCAGCTAGTCGTATAGAGGTTTGCATAGAATTGATGAAAAGATGTTGAGATTATAATCCATCTTCATATCAATAGATTATTTTAAAAAGGCGTCAGTAAAGTATACAGAATATTTTACACTATATTAACTATATTGTAACCGATTTTATTAATAATTTAAAAAAAAAAAAATATTATTTTCTTTTCTTTTTCAAATCTTGTTACACAAGCAGAAAAACCAAATAAAAATAGTCATAATAGAGTGGCAAACGATAGCAATAAGTACACCTTTTTTCCGTATTCAACCCGCAGCACTTGCTTTTCTAAAATATGATGTCATGATCTAATGATTTTATTTAGTGATAAAAAAACAAATATGGAAATATCGGAAATATCAACATGAGTCATGACTTGTAACACTTGCAACCGCGTTGACGCGTCGCGTATAATTATCGTAGTTAATCATAGTTTAAACTTACTCATTACTCATATTTATATAAATACCGCATCATAAAAAAAGAAACTATATAAATACCTTTACATTTAATTTTTTTTTTTTTTTTGATATTTCGCTCCAGATATTTCACTTTATTTATTAATCTAAATTTTTATTTACAGAAATTCCTCGTATAATCCTTCTAATGATTATGCAACTAAGTGTTGCTCTCAATAATATAAAAATTCCTTAACAGAAATTGGTGATGATATTCTTGATTATTAGTTTCATCTGATGAGTTAGCTATCAAAGAATTATTCAACCATGTTCAAGATTACTTAATCAAAAAACAAAAAATGAGTGTGAAGTGGTTACTCATTTCTTGGAAGAAGAAAGGTCAAATCTACACATTAAGTGGTACGTATAAATTATAGTTTGCCGGATGGACGTATGAGTAGGTGCGCACTGCAGGGTTCACGCCTCGCATGAATCATGCTTGGTGCATCCAAGGTTACAGCTGAAAGTCTTCCGGATGGTATTCTGTTATGGTCAGAATCGTTGATGATTTGCCACTCCAGTTGTATAGGTTTGGTGGACTGTCAACGATGACATACGTATACTAGTGGCTGCAGACACTTATGAATGTTTGTTGATTATAGGTAAAAGATAATGACGGTGTCTGAAAGCAGAAAGAGACTAAGTATAAGTTATAGTTTCTATCACGTAAATTCTACTGAGTAATTTGAGCTTCATATGACGCAAGAAATTTCACCATTTACTTTATTATAGGTTTTTTCAAAATTTTACTTTTAATTATGTCCATAGCGTAACGAAGAACTGGCTACAAACTTAATATTTGCGTACAAAAAAATTACTTTGTTATGAGATCCATACAATTCTAGGTTCATTGTTCGATTACATTTCAATGCATATTAGGTAGACTTACATCCAATGCTGACGAATGAGATTTAGATTAATCTCTTCGTAATACTAATTATTTTTTTTATTATTCTTTGCATCGATTATGAGAGTCAAATATCTGGTGCAATTTTTTTTACTTATTTTGTTTCAAAAGAAAAATTATCTTTATTGTAAAATAAAAAAAAAATTTCTACTTCATTTTAATATCTTATCTGTAGCTCCATAAATTTTTACAAGATAAAAACATTTTTGAAATGGATATTTTAAAGCAATATTTAGGTAGATACAACATACAACTATAATTCTAAAACTGATAATAGTTAAAGATTTATGGAAAGCAATATTATTATATTATAATAAAAAATATAAATTTAAGAAATTAAAACTTTTTTAACCATTTATTTTATTAGAATATTTCATGCTACAATTTTTTCTACTAATTCAATTAAAAAAAAAAAAAATATTATGGATTTAGAAAAAAGAAAAAAAAAAGTATATTAATGAACTAGGCATAGGATGGCGTTGGTATCGACCTTGTAATGCTAAAGATTTTAAAGATTTGACGGAAATAATGAATCTATACAACAATCACAATTTAATACTTTGTTTACTTTAAAATTCCTTGAATATCGGATACCTTTTGAAAAATTTGAAAATGTTAACTATCTTACCGTGATTAAAGTGATCTAATTCAATTTTCAATACATATTATATATTGGAAAATTGTTTTTTTCTGCAATCTAACTATTTTTTTATTTTTCGTGTTAAAATTTTCATCTATTGCGAATTTTTCTAAATTTTTATCTAAAAAAGGAAAATTATAAATGCTTACATCTTGCTGTATAATTATCATTAACTAACTTAACTTATTATTGAACAAAAAATTGATATTTGTTCATAATGTTAACACAAAAATTCTAAATTAAGGCGATTACACTTCTGTGCAAATTAGGGGGATTTGCATCCAATGACGAATGAGATTTAAATTTCGTAATACCCAATATTATTGGGTACGACGGAAACATGTCATCCATACTGTAGGGTGGGGTGATGTATACCGGACGTTGCCATACATTGACCACTATACGTACATACATAGCTCAGTTAGCTCACCGTACGCTACATGTTTTCTATATAATCAATATTATTGCACCGCATTAAATTTTGCTTTCTTAAAAAAAAATTATTTTCTTTATAAAATTAAAATTTTGATTTTATCTGTAACTCCATAATTAGTTACTTATAAAAATATTTTGTAAAATGGATACTTCAAAACAAAATTTAGATGCAACTGAAACTGATGTTAAAAATTTATGGATAGAGTATGATGATAATATTGAATATCAGGTAAAAATTATTATTATATTATAATATAAAAATAATATAAATTTTTTATTTATTAAAAACTTTTATTTCTTATACATTATTAATTTTAAAATAGTTACATGCTACAATTTTTACTACTGATTCAATTACTGAATCAACTGAATCAGATGAAACTAGTTACCTTCTTAAAAAAATAAATATTATGAATTTAGAAAAAAGAAAAGAAGTTTATGGAATATGTGGAGAATGTAATGAACCAGGTACAGGAGTCCATTGGTGTCAACCTTGTAATGCTAAAAGATTTAAGGAAAATTTTAAAAATTGGACTAGTGGAAATAAAAATATTGATAAATTAATACAACAATCACAACTTAATGCTTTATTTTCCATGAAATTTCTTGAATGGTTACCCTTTGAAAAATTTGAAAATGTTACTTATCTTACCAGAGGTGGTTTTAGTAAAATTTATAAGGCTGATTGGCCTGAAGGAAATATTGAAGATTGGGATATTGAAAATAAAAAATGGAATCGATGTCCAAATATGAAAGTTGCATTAAAAAGTTTAGATAATTCATCTAATATAAATAATGATTTTTTAAATGAGGTAATTAAATAAATATTGCTTTTAAGTTAAATTTATTATATATTTATAAATCTAATTTTCTCTTTTAAATATTATTAGATTAAATATTATATTTCAGGTCATTTTCATTTTATTAGTACTGTTATATGTTATGGAATAACTCAAGATCCAGATACCAAAGATTATATGATGGTTTTACAGTATTATGAAGATGGAAATTTGAGAAATGTTTTAATGAATAACATAAATTATAAAAATAAAATACAATATTTATTTTGTATTATAGATGGGCTTTCAAATATTCATAATGCTGGAAAAGTTCATAAAGATTTTCATTCAGGTAATATATTAGTTTATGATACAATCCCATTAATTAGCGATTTAGGAATGTGTCAACCAGTAAATAATGAAGAGCAATCAGTTAAAAAAGGAATTTATGGAGTATTACCTTATATTGCACCGGAAGTTTTACATGGATATCAATATACAAAAGCAGCAGATATTTATTCATTTGGAATAATAATGAATGAACTTATGTCAGAAGAAATTCCTTATAATGATATTTCTCATGATAATAATTTGGCTGTTAAGATATGCAAAGGATTTAGACCAAAAATTTCTGAAGATACACCGAAAATAATTGCAGATTTGATTATTAAATGTTGGGATGCTAAGGCAGAAAATAGACCAACAGCTAAAGAATTATGTCAAATATTAAGAGAATATGTAGGTGAAATTAATGTTAAAGATGGCGAAATTTATTTTCAAATAAAAGAATGTGAAAAAATTAAAGAGAATAGATCAAAAAACAGAACAAATGAAAATGAATCTAAAAAACTTCAAATACATCCACAAGCAATTTATACTAGTAGACTTTTAAATTTTAAAAATCTTCCAGAACCAATAAATTCAACTGATTATTTATCTTCATTTCAAGGTAAATTTACTAGTACATTTTTTTATTTTTTTTTAAAAAAAAAATTGATATTGACCTGTTTTTTTTTAACAGAAACCATTCCAACAACATTAATAAATCCAAGTAAGTATATGATAAATATGTTTATTCATCAATTAATTATTAGTAATATTTTATACTGTCATTTATAGTTTCCGAAAATGTATCTGAAAGGTTGAATTATGAGTTAAATGAATTAGGTGAGATGAATATTTTAATTATTTGTTTATAGTTTTTTTTAAAAAAATTATGTTTATAACAGATAACGTATATTTTTAATAGATCTCAATCAAGATGATGATGATTTGATTTTTTAAATTTCAATTATTCTGTCCGTTAAAATTCGAAACGATCCCATTTATTTATAGCAATATTTTATATATTTTATGTATAAACATTATGTCATTTATTATCATCAAATATTTTCATTTTTTTTGCATAATATTTATTAAATAAAGATTTATTATTTGTCTAAATTAAATGATAAAAATCTTTTCACGATATATGTATATATATATATCGCGCAGTAAAGTAACAAACAAAGAAGAAAGAAAAAAAAAAAAGATAAAACATAAATTTTAAATCTTTGTATCTGATTGGTTTAAAATGACATATTTATATATATGTACAGATTGAACAAACTGATAATATATCCTCCTTTATATATAAACCCTTTTCTCTTACTTGACTGTGTCTATTGATTGCGGTAAAGAAGTGGTCGAAGGTTGATTACTAACCAAAGAAGTATTTTCATCCGTTGAAGATCTGGTATGTAATTGAGTAGAACTAAAGGAATTCTTTGTTATCATTGGAGTATCATCCAAGAAATTATTTTCAAAACTTGTATTTGACTTATTATTATTTTCTTCTAAACCTCGAACAGATTTTTCGGTTATAGGTAAATTATGTTGATCAACATTTTTAGGATGTGTAGGAATGGGAGAAAATCTTGTAAACCAGTGTTGTTTATATTTTGTAATATAAACGCATGGAACTAAAAATAAAATGATTAAAACGAGAATTACTAAAACTATTATTATAGGTTGAGATAAAGGATGAGCTAATACAGGATGTTTATTTGCTAAAAGAGGAGGTTCTGAATCATTCGAGCTAGTTGGTGAAGGTGGTGTTAATGTAGGATCTGTAGGATCTTGACTTTCTGTTTGATCTTGACCAAAAGATTTTGAAAATAATATGTTAAATAATAAATATATTATTATATAAAATTTCATTTTCGATTGAAAGATAGAACTTTTTTAAAGAAAAAGAGAGAAAATAATAATCAACAAATAAATAAAATAGATAAAATCCTGAATCCTAAAATGTGATGTTCATAACGTGTGACTTACTTGTATAAAGTGGGCTATGTCCGTTCTTTGAGGCTAATTAATCAAAGCCTCATTTTTACACTGCCATAATTAAATAAACTGTTACTAATCAGGTTTTAATCCAGTTTTAATGATATTTTATTGTATAGATAAATGATTATCAAATTTATCAATTTTAGAAATCAATACCCTTGAATATTTTATCTTTAAAAGTAAATTTGTGGCAAAGCATACAAAAATATATGTAGGAATTTTAAACTGGCCGAAAATATACAAACTACATAAAAATTTAGATCCAACCAGATTGAGCTAATTCAAACTTACGTCATTGCTGTGATAGCTTAATTTCGTATAACGCGATACTTTACGAGCCAAGACGTAAAATATTACACACTGCGTAATTATTCTAATAAATGGATTAATTGATATCTAAATCCGATGAACTTCCACTTTTAGTAATTTGTCATTAAAGATTGATATTAAACCGGAAAGTATGATAAGTATATGATTATATTATAAACGTGGTGAATTGATTAAATTACACGCTGCAAAATATGATTTACGTGTTTATTGCATATATAATTTGATCGTTATATTTCTTTTTTAATAATATTCTAAAAAATTTAAATAAAAATCTTGAGGCAAGTTCATATTGTGCATTTAAATGGTCTTTTTCAGCTGTTATTTTATATAATTCAAATGCTTTTGTTTTATTAACTTCAGTTCCAACCCCAAATTGATAATAATATCAGCATTCGAATGATTTTTAAATACAATAATAATAATAATAATAAATGAAATAACTAAATTATACGTCCGTACTGTATTACTGTATTATATACTATATATATCGCTCTTCTCATAATCGGATGACGGACGAGGACGGAATGACGGATTCACGCTCAAAATGTTCCCGCCTTCCCTTAAAATTTTCCATACATTTGTTATATAAATCATTTCATTTGAAAGAATCAGACGATTACTTTGCTAAGAAACTTTTTTTTTTTATTTGATAAAATCGAATGTATATACTATATAGATATTTTAGAATAAAAAAAAAAAAAAATCATTGAAACATTGAAACATTGAAACATTATAATTAAATCCATCAACGTCATCATCAACGTTGGGATGGTAAATGAATGGTACAAGATTATTTTAAACTAATACAACTTTAAATTTTTAAAAATAAATAAAATAAATTATGTTGATGTAGGTTTTGCTTTATCTGATCCATCATCGACATTAATGTCATCAGCGTCGTTATCAACATTTGATTGTTTTTCTGTAATGGTGCCAAGATTTTGTTGATTTAAACTAAGAGAACTTATTTTCTTTTTTAAATTATTATTATCTAGAGAATTATCATCAACTGTCGAAGCATTAGTTGCCGTTGATCGAGTTGATCGAGTACGATTAATAGTACTACTTCTACCACTACCACTACTAGTATATGGCGTATTACTATCATCTTGATCTATTAAAATTTCCTCTCTTATGTTCTCACATTCTTCTTTATCATTATGAGTATTACAAATTATTCCAACATTAGATAATCTTTTATCTTGATTATTAGTTAATCTATCAGGAATATTTTTACTGACTGATACAATACTATCCCCAACCAATTTACCATGAGATAAATTTTTGATTTTTGCTGATAAAGCGTTTTGATCTACGGGTTCTTTTAATAAAACTATTGGTTCGCCCGTTCTTTCATCTCTACCAAAGTAATTACCCTCATTTAATGCCATAATACGTTCTGCTAAATCTGATTGAGAATTATTATTGCTTTTATTGTTGTTATTATCACTACTAGAAAATAATCTTAACGCTTCAGGAAAATAACTAGCATATTGACTACTAATACTATTACTACTATTCCTTTTACTATCAACAGTATATTGCCCACTACCAAAGAAACTTCTTTTAGGTTTTTTCCTAAGAAAATCTTCAGGTATAGGAGTAAGTATTGGTGATGAATCTGGATAAGAATAATTATCTTTATCATGTATTTTACTTTCACGAGTCGTTACTACTGAACGATCAGATTTTATCCCGTATGGTTTTTTCGGAGTATTTGATTTACGATATTTTTGATAATAAATTATTGAAAAAATTGATTTTGTTAATAATACTAATATACATGAAGATAATGTTAATATAGGTATTATATCTGGAAATATCGTATACACTTGATAAATAATCTAATAATATTTTTAAAAGATTTTTTGATTAATAATTATCGAAGAATTAAAATATATATATAAAAAAAAACAATTTTTCTTACTAGGACTATTAATTGAGAAAGATCTTCAATGAGAATAGTAACAATATTTATGATGAATATTTGATATATCGTCTTTTCAGTTAAAGGAGCACTTAAATTCATTGAATTAAAACTTTTTGATGTCAAGCAATTTAATGATTCTAAATCGGTACCAGCAAGTAAAGTGAATAATAAGGCTGTTTTCGAATTATTTATCCACCATTTTGCAAATTTATTATTATCCTTAATTTCTTTACTTATTATTATATAAGTAAACATTAAATTTAATGCTATTGGTATCGTTAACAATAGGATACTATTATTAAAATAAAAAAAAAAAAGTTAGTGAATAACATAATAAAGTTCATGCGCATGATATGACCATCTCTATATGTAATATGATAAATTAAGAATATATCCAAATGTTCATACCTTGTTATATATAACCATGATAAATCACGTCCATGAATTGATACGAATAAAATATCTAACACGAAATCTAACATAATAAATGTAAACGTGAATATTACTTCATTATTTCCCTACAATAACGATTTAAAAAAAAAATGATCAATATAATTAAAATTATATCATACATGAAAAATAATCGTAAAAAATAGGTTAAATGTTACCTTATTGTTACTTTTACGTGCAAAGAAATATAGTATCGTTAATATCACAAATCCAATACCCGCTCCTATTAATATATATCCGTACCTAATCCATAAATCCACTAAACGTGATGTAAAAAAAATTAGAATAAAATTATGACGTCAAAAAAAAAAAATAATGGCACTACTTACGTAAAGATTTTGCACCGTAAGACGCGTCAAGTAAAGATGTTGTACTTGTTGTCGACATAGCATTATAATCTTTATTTTTAATTAACAAATCTAAATCTTTAACAATTTGTGATGAACTAATATTATCAACGTCCACTTCATTCCTTCCTTCTTTTTTAATAGATATTCGAAGTAATACTTGGGAGGCTGAATCTTTGTCAAATTGATAACGACTTTTGATTGATAAATAAGCTACATTACATGGAATTATGAGTGATAAATTTGAAACAAGATCTTTGGAAAATTGATCTTTTTCATTTTGTGATAAAGAAGTGTAATATGAGGATCCTGCTGGTGTCAATCTTAATATTGCACTTGTTGAACCTAAAAATGATTCAGCCAAATAAGATTTATCTTCCGAATTATTATCTATTAAAAAAAAAAAAAAAATTATTTTAATTAGTTAAATTATTTCATCATTTTTTCATTTCCTTTCACTCTTTTCCTTTTACATACCAGTAGAAAGATTCCAAATTCCTTTTTTAATACCTAATAATTCTTGATCAACTCTTGCATCTTTAACGAAACCATTATCAACTAATACATAATATGACGTATCCTTTCTATTAAAAGTTGTTTCAAATATATCAACTTCCACCGTATTATTATCAATTAAATTAATAAAATTTCCATTATTTTTATTAACATTTTGTCTAATAATATTATTATTAAGATCAATTATAGATAAATTCCCATTTGATAATTGTATAAAATTTTTAAACTTAATTTTTAATTTTTTAGTTGACATTAAAGGTATTATTGAATTAATTGATGGTATAGTTGAATCTATATAAGCATTATCATAAATACCAGGTTTACCAAGATCTGATAATAATGATGAAGAAGTAATAAATGTCCAACTTTCATTATTATTATTATTTAAATTTGTTGTTGATGTTGTTGATTTTGACATAATCCAAATAGTATTATTAGGAAATATTCCAACATTTTTCGTTAAATTTAATGATGGATTATTTGTTGATATATCCCAAGTAGTATTATATATACCTTTATCATTATATATTATACCATTAATATTCTTATTTAAATTATTTTCTGTTAATATACATAATCCACCATAATGTAATTGTAATATATTCCAAATTATTGTTCCAGTTATTAATTCATTATTCATGACTAATCTTGTCGTACTTGATACTGAACCAGAAGAAAAAAATTCTACATCTATAATATTAGTTTGACCATCCATTCCAATATAATATATCACACAATTATAACCAAAAGAATTATAAGCTATATTACATTTAAATATATTTAATTGTTGTATATTATTTGAAATTTGTGAATAAATTTGAAATGGTCCTTTAATATCATCTTCTAAAGGTTCAGAAGGGATGAATAAAACGTAAATTTTCATTTGTATATCTTGAAATCGTATTGTAGAAATTCCATATCCTCCATTTTCTGTCGCAAAAATTTGAGTAAAAGTTGAAGTAAAATTATTTATATTATTAATTGTTCCAGATGATAATGAATTGAATGATCCTGATGAGTCACTACGAAAGAAAGAAAAGAAAGGTGAATATTTATTTAAAAAAAAAAAGAAAATACGTTTGTTTACTTACGGAGCGCTTAATTTTCGCCATTTCAATTGATTTGATTCTTGTATGTAACATAACCACAAGAAACCTGTGTTGGCGCTTTGTACGACATTAACGTCAGTACAAGAATCTCCTAGAGAATTATTACTAATATAAAAATGTAAAAATTTTAATATATAATAAACTTTTAAAAAGAAAATGAAATAAAGGTTTCTTACTTTAAGATGTTACCATTCCAATTAATTACCATTCCACATAAATTAAAATTCGAAAAATCACAATAATATGTAACAAATATATAACCGGAAGATATTGGGTGAATTTTTACAAAATCAATCGTTGATGAACTTGATATGGAATTATCATTACAAAAATTTTCTAAAGGAATTTGAGGGACGTCAATGTTTAAATCTTTAACTGATCCATCCGAAAGAATCAATTTTAAAAATAATTTTGGTTCATTACAATTTGTTGTCGTCGTCGTCGTCGTCGTCGTTGTCGTCGTCGTTGGTGAAGAAGAAAGAGAAGATGGATATGATAATCTTAATAATAATGTACCGTCACGATAACTCGTTTGTGAAATTAATTGAAAATAATTTGGTGTGTTGATAGTTAAGGATTGTGTGGTTACTGCGGATATTTTATGTAATACTAATAATAGAAGTAACAGTATTCTTGCTAATCCAATTTTGTATTGTCCTTTCATTATTTTTTTAAAATATAAAAAAAATATATATATATATAAGCTTTCAAATATTTTTTTTTTTTTTTTTTAAATCGG